ATTTGAGAGTACTATTGTTGGTTATGTGCAAACCATGTATATAAAGATTTTATGGTTTGGTGTGGGGTTTATTTTCGGGTAATTATTCAATACTCTAGCAATAATGATTTTATTTTATTAATAAATTAATATTTAATATTTTATTTTTTAAAAGTTTAATATAAAAGTGATGAGTTTTACCATTTAAATCATTTACGCTATGTTTTGTTAAAAAATTTAGAAAATGATTTGAAAAAAAAAATAAAAAAATAAGTAAAATATGAATAAAATATATTTATATTTTATCTAATTTTATACACAAATTTTTTTTTTCTTCTTAAATTTTTGTCTAAATCTCTCAATCAAATAAAACGTTAAAATACCATTTAAACATATTTTAGGAGTATTGAATAATTTCCTTATGCTTATATTGAAATAGTATGGGTGAATGATGACACAATTATATTGAAATTTTACTCGTGTTTTGGTTGGAATTTAAAACGTGTAAATTCAATTGTTTTCTATTTTTAAGTTTGTAAAATAGGAAAATACACATAAAATCAGTATATATCTCCCACGAAAATGAGTATATTTTTTTTTTTGAACAACAACGAAATCTTTATTGATGAAACCAGCAAGGAGGGGAAGATTACATCAATAAAGAGGAGCTTGGTGCTAAAAAGCACCAAGCGCCAGTTGGTGAGAAGCCAATAGAAAGAGAAGGAGGAAAAGAAGACAACAGAAGCAAAACACCCAGAGAATTGGTTTAACAAGCACCAAGCAAAACACCCACAACAACAGCCAAGTTTTGGTTTCCAAAACTGGAGCACTGCAGCATCCTCAGTATACAACCGGCTGATCACAGAGGCAGAACAAATAAACATCCTCCCCATTCTGGTGAAGCAGAACAGAATGGATTTACACTGGCTTCAAGTAATGTACACCAGCCAAACCAACCAACTGTGGCCCACAACACACAAACATAGCAGACATGATAATAGTAGCTCACCTACACACTATGTAAACCTGAAGCATAGCAAGACATACCATCCAACCTTGGCACACGACAACAACTCTCCTTGAATAGGGTGGAAGTAACTGTATATCAGCTATATATATCAGCAGCCATAGCAGTTTCAGACCATCAGCCAGAACAGTAACTACCATACAGAACCCCATCAGGTGCCATCCACCAAGCACACCCCACAGAAGCCAGTGCAAATACACCAAAACAGAAGCACCAGCAGACAACCAAACAGAGACACCAGCATATATCAGCCACCAGAGCAGTTTCAGACCATCAGCCAGAACAGTAACTACCATACAGAACCCCACAGAAGCCATTGCAAATACACCAAAACAGAAACACCAGCAGACAACCAAAAGAAACACCATAGCAGTTCACCTACCCACTTTGAAGACCTGAAGCATAATAAGTCTGAATTGCCTTCACCAGATAATTACAAATGCATTACAACCTCCCACCCAAGCATACTCTAATGAGTATATATCAGTATATATCTTAATGTAGATTCTAAAATCAGTATATATCTTAATGTTTTCCTTTACGAAAATGATATACAAATTTAATTGGGTAAATTACACTTTGTCTTCCTAAAGTTTTATCCATTTTTCACTTTAGCCTTTTAAGTTTGATTTTTTTCACTTTGACCTTTTATGTTTACAATCATTTTCACTTTAGTCCTTTATGTTTGCAATTCTCCCCATTTTGGCCTTTTAAGTTTGATTTTTCTCACTTTAGCCCTTCATGTTTGGAATCCTTCTCATTTTGACCATTCATGTTGGCAATCCTTACTCCTAGACTAACTTCCATCAAAAAAAATAACAGAATTTGTCACATCACTAACACATCAACTCCATATGTGATGTAAAAAATTCACTAAAGATTCAAAAAATAAAAAATAAAAAACAAAAAAATTAGAATTTTTGTTAGTCTTTAGTAAACTTTGTTTCCAAATTTATTCATAAATATTATTACATTATAGATACGTCTAGATTAGATGCAGTTGAAAAAATAAAAATAAATTTAATTAAAAAAAGAAAAAAGTTCACTAAAGACAAAAAAAAAATGATAGTAAAATTTTCATTTCAGAATTGAAAATGCAGGTGTTTGAGTCAGTATATATTTTTTTTTTTGGTCTTTACTAAACTTTTTTCTTTTTTTAGTTAAATTTGTTTTTATTTTTTTAGTTGCATCTAATCTAGATGCATCTATAATATAATAATGTTTATGAATAATTTTTTTTTAAAAAAAAGTTCATTAAAGACTAAAAAAATTTCAATTTTTTTGTTTTATATTTTTTATTTTCTACATCTTTAGTGATTTTTTACATCACACATGAAACTGATGTGTTAATGATGTGGGAGATTCTGTTAGCTTTTTGGATTGAAGTTAGTCTAAGAATAAAGTGGGGAGGATTGCAAATATGAAGGGCCAAAGTTGGATGGATTGCAAACATGAAGGGCCAAAATGGAAAAAATTAAATTTAAATGGCCAAAGTGGAAAGGATTGCAAACATGAAGGACCAAAGTGAGACAAATTAAACTTAAAGGGCCAAAGTAGGAAATGGGTGAAACTTTAGGGGGGCAAAGTGTAATTTATCCAATTTAATTTGTAGACACATTTTCCAGATCTAGTGATGTGTCAATGAAATGATTAATTGATAATTAAAGAATAAATGAGAAAGAGAGAGTTGACTTAAACATTTTAATAGTGACAGATTATTGGGTGTAATTTTTAATTCTGAAGAATAATATCTTTTTCCTTATTTAGAATCATAAACTTTTCAATTAAAAAATAATTTAATTTTTGTTGATGTTTATTTATTTAAATTTTTTAATAAATCTTTATAGATGTTTTATTTTAATTTTTTAATATTTTATTTAATTGACATTTTATTTAATTTCATTAGATTTTTTTATTAACATAATTTTTTATTGATGTTTTATTTATTTAATTAAAAAATAAATTAAATAAATTTTTATTTAATCTAGCAAAAAAAATTAAAATATTAAAGATAGATTTAGTATTATTATTATTTAGTGAACAATTGAAAAATGTAAAATAGTCTATTGGGTATTTATCATTCTTCATAATATTTCAATCAAACATTAGATTCAATAGGATAGTCCTTTCTAAATTTCTAATCTCATGAGAAAACAAATATGAAATACGTATCATTTTCAATCAGATAGTCCAGGAATTATATATGCCACGATTAATAATTCAATGGATTACAATCTCCTTTTATTCAGTCCGTCCAAATAAACATGGCATTATAGTATTTGAATAATGAATTTAAGTAATAATTTAAAAAGGAAAAAAAAAATCATTTACTTGCCTAAATATGCAAAGGGGGACTTACTCTTGATCCTAATATGTGGACTTATTGTCCAATAGATTCTATGAGAATTGATGACATTTTTCAAATGTCACTAATTGTTAATTTTCAGTGACAATTTAAAAATTATCATAAAAAAATGTTACTAATTATAAATTTTAGTGACAGTTTAAAAAAATCGTCATAAAAAACGTTACTAATTTTTAATTTTCAGTTTCAGTGACAGTTTGAAAAAAATTTCACAGAAAAAAGTTACTAATTATAAATTTTAACGACAATTTATAAAAACTGTGACCAAAAAAAAAAAAGAATCAATAATTGTCAATTTTTAGCGATATATACAAAAAGTTGTCACAAAAAAATTATATTTAAGGACGATTTTACTAGGACTTGATGGGAATTAAATTCAACTATTATGGCCTTTTGATAGTTTACCTTATAAGAATTATAGCTTTACTTATCTCTCTAAATACAAATCATATTTTTTTGCTTTAATATTTTGAGATAAACTCCCCTTCGTACCTCATCTCTTCATATTAATGATTCAAATCGTCTATCTCATAAGCTCCGCAATGAAGGTCATCCATGCAAAAAAATTAATTTCATCAGACAACTAAAAATATAGGAACAAATCACATTTTGTTTTATAAAATAGATAATTTAAATTTAATTATATTTGCTATTTATTTTATAAAACAAAATCGATTTATTTTTGTATTTATAATTTTTTGATAAAATTAATTTTTTATATAAATAACTTTTATTATGAAACCTATAAAAATAGACAATTTAAATTATTGATGTGCCGTATGCTACTTGAAATAGTCAATACTCTTTAGCTACTTTATGACAATATGTAAAACTTTGTCTTGTGCTTAGTTCTGGCTCAGACTGAACAACTTGTCCTTTGCGACAATTATTAGATACTTGAAGTTTCATATAATATTGTCCGTATTATTTTTGATAAATAAGAAATCATAATATATATTTTTTCTCTAAACTATCTAACAAAGGTGAATTAACAAAGGTGACTTAATATATCATATCCCTAAAATTTCTGTCATTGATTTAGAGTACTATGTAAACATTGTCGTATGGCTACTGAGCAGAAAGAGTTGATTGTGGAAGGACAAATGTTTGGTGAAATTTTTTTTAAGTAAAAGTTGATAATCAAAAAACAGAAGTTAAAAACACTCCTAACTCAGCCTTCAAATAATTAGTTTTTTTTTTTTTTCAACTTATTTAAATTATTTCTACTTAATAAGTTATAAGCAAAAACTGCATCAAACAGTTTAACACAAACTCCCAAATTAAAATAAATTATAATCACTCCAAAATCTGTAACAAACAGTCTCGTTGTTTTGTTTATACTATGGGGTTCCAACTTCCAAGATGTGCATGACTTGGTCATAGTTCTAATTTTATACTAGTTTATGTTTGGAGCTTAAAAGGCTGCTTGTTCCTATAATTTGTACCTTAAAAATTATTTTGAAAGTGAGTGTACTACGGCGTTGCGTTGTTTCAATGATTGCTTGTAAAACTAGTAAACCAACAGTTCCAATGCTATTCTCATTGTTCTTTTCAATCACCTATGCCAATAAAACCCTAGAGAAAGCAAAGCCACCAATAAAATTATTTGTGCATACTCCATTAAAAATGTGAGTGTTCAAGCAATTGGCATAACTAAAATACAATTTTTTATTTTTTTTTAACATATTTCATACTACAAAAAAAAAAAAAAAAATTCATGCTCACATAAACCGTGCAAATTTTGCTCATGTTTTGATTAAGTTTGAAAACACAGCAAACCATAACATAGACTTGATGGTCCATCAAACATCGTACCAGTCTGTTTAGTTTCATTTTTAGAATTTGTTTTTTGAAAAACACTAAAACTAATTTGGTGAAAAAATAAAGAAAAACGCAAAAACTCCTTTTTTATATTATTTTCATTTTTGTGCAAAATTTGTTGTTGAAAATCCGAAAACATATTTTTGTTCATTTTCACCAAACGAGCTTTTAGTACTTTGCAGAAAACTGATTCTGAAAATGAAGTGTGGCCTACGGATATCATCTTCTATTGGGAACCTGTTATTTTTCGATGTCCTTTAGTCTGAGAGTTACGGCTCTCTTGTGGGCATCGAGCCCTTCCACTTCAGCCATAGTGGCCACGTAAGGGCCAAGTGTCCTCAGGCCCTCCTCTGTCAAGGATTGCACGGTCATGTACTTGAGGAAATAGTCTAGAGATACTCCTCCGTACATCCGGGCATAACCATAAGTCGGAAGGACGTGGTTTGTTCCGCTTGCATAATCTCCTACGCTCTCTGGTGTCCACGGTCCTAAAAATACAGAACCTGCAGGATAATCAACGATGGGTTTAAAACATCCTTCTCTATAAGTAAGTGAAATAATGAAAATATATTGATGGAGAGAGGAGTGTGATCAATTTAACAAATAAAGATTGGAAAAACATGCCTAACGAAAGTAGTGTTTTGAGAGCAATAGCCGAGTCAAGAGAAATCATCATAAAAAAGATGAGAGAATAAAAGGTCTGCAAAATTTAACCTGCATTCTCAACGAAACTCTCCCACTTCTCTGCATCTTCAACATTGATAATCAGATGTTCGGGTGCATATAAGTTTGAAAAGGAGACAGCCTGAAAGTCCCAATAATGAAGATTATATTCAAAAAGCAATAAAAAAAAAAATTATATTTTTTTCCTTCGATAAAAGAAATAAGAAACAGAGATATAAACTGAAAAATAATATAAAAAAGAAACATTTTTTTATAAACAAATATGCAACAGATCACAAGTGCAGCATCGGAGTGTAAGAATTTCGGTAGTGAGAATGGAAACGTGGAATGGGAATTTGATTTCATGTCTCCTACATTTTGCCATTTGGTGCGTCCAAGGCATGGAATGTCATTCGGATTACCTAAAACAAGGCAAAACGAGATTGCCCCACATGGTGGGTGTAGAAATTTAATGTATAAAGAGAAATGATTGTATTATTGATTGATGTATATTGATATCTATTACAATGATTCATGATTCCTATATATAGAAGAGGGTGAGTGTGTAGTAGGTAAGGAGTAGGTGAAGTGGAGGTGGTAGTGGTATAGTGGGTTAGGTTTAGTGAAGTAGGTGAGGTGGTAGTGGTGTAGTGGGTTAGGTTTAGTGGAGTAGGTTTAAGTGGGTGAAGTAGGTGGGTTAGGTTTAGTGGAGAACAGCCCCCTGGGTCTAACTACTTTTAGCTTCCTCTTGTCCTTGTTCCTTCAACTTGAATCAAATCACTCTTCACTACTGAGAAGCTAAGGGTAATGTGACTAGTGTCAATTGAGAATTATATGAGACCAAGTTATCTAGGAAGGTTTGGACATGTACAAGGTGGACTAATGATTTTACTAATAAAGAGGCCATGTTAAAAGTGTTTAAGCGAATAAATCAAATACAATACAACAGAGATAAAAACCATTGCATGCATTTACCAAGATACACATCCAAGAAAGAAACTTTGTTACATCATCTCCAGCATATGTTGGGCTCAGTTCTAGATTAATAATGCAACGGCACTGTACAAGGAAAATCAATGTGAAAACATAATCAAGAAAACCATATATACTTGAATACCTGCTCCTGTGAACGGAAATACATGAAGGGTGTATAATGAAGAAAATTTGAGACCCTTGAGGTATAAATATCAGCATACCTGTAATTTAATGGAATTAAAAATTAAATCAAAAGGCGTGCCCAATCCATAAAAAGGCGTGCCATCAAAAGGTGCGCCAGACACGCGGCGATGCATGTGATCGACAGAACGCGTGTCGGCCTCTTTGTCATGGTCTTTATAAACCGAAGCGGAGGCTGAGGCTTGGAAGCAGAGACAAAAAACTGCTAGAAAAACTCTGAAAAAATCTTCGTTTTCTGAGAGAGATTTTTGAGAGAGATACTCTGTAACACTTTGTTTTCTGAGAGAGATTTCTGAGAGAGACACTCTGTAACACTCTGTTGTCCAGAAAATGGCTTCGTCTTCCCGTGGTCTGCTCACTCTCTTTCCAGACCTTAACGAGTCAACAAGAGAGATAACTGGTGCGGGGGCCAGTGAACCTCAACCAAGCGCCCCAGGGTTTGCTCCGTTGAACTTTCCTATGCGGTCGGTGGAGCAAAAAATGGCAGTGCAAACTGACATTGAAGCCAATCAGTATACTTTGAAGTCCTGTGTGGAGACGATGACGGCAGTCACAAACTTGTCGCACCGGCTGCAGAGTAGGACAAATGAGGTGCAGCATTTAAACGGCCAATTGGCTCTGCTCCAGCGCATGTATAAGGATGCGCGAGCAGAGATAAGTGTGCTGAAGGCGGAAAACAAGGAGCTGAAGCGGAAGGCTACCGTGATGTTCCGATTTGGAGGTCCACCATATGCTGTAGTGGAGGAGCAGGGTGGAGTGAACGTGCTCGGTGGCGTGGGAAACACGGAGGCAGCACCGTCAAGGGCCGTCCAGGATGGAGGCAAGAAAAAGAGACCGGCGGCAGAGTAGAGAAGAAAAATCCCGCCTGTGGATGTGGTTGTTTGGTGTGTTTTGTTTTTGTTTTGTGTTTTTTTTTTTTTTTTTTTTTTTTTTTTTTTTTTTTTTTTTTTTTTTTTTTTTTTTTTTTTGGTAGTGTTTTGTTTAAGAATAAAAATAAAATGAAAGAAAACAAGGGATAAAAAAAAATATATAAAAAATATTTGTAGATGGATTATATGAAAAACATCAGTGTGATTGTTTCAAAATAAAGTTGGGGTTAGTGCCCTGCAAAAGATATATTATTGGAGAGTGGGTATTTAAAAAGGATTAAAAGTGATTTGAAAAAAAAAATAAATAAAAATAATTGATTTTGAGTCTGGGTCTGTCGGGTTCATGAGAGGTGGAGTATTATTTTATGAGAGAGTGAGAGGAAGTGATAATAAAAACAATGTGTTTATCTGTGTATGATAAGAGAGAGAGAGATTGTGCAACTGTCACTGAAAGACAAAATGTAGTGGATGTGAATATTAAAATAAAAAGAAAGGAAAAAGAGAGGGTTTAAAGTGATCTTATGTAGTGGTGTAGTCTATCTATCATCAGCAAGAGGAATAGCAAGAACCCCATAAGAGAAGCTTCAAGCATGTGACTGGCGAGGAGAATCTGGGCCGTTGGATTGACTACACCATTTGCTATTGCTCAAGCTCTGATCACAGCATGAACATTTGGAATTGATCTTGTCACCATTTTCAAGTCTGTTCTCACTAACCCATGTGAAGAAGCCAATCCTTCTTGAGATTTCAATGGAATTCTCGGCGTGTTTTGGGTGCGTGGATAAGCAATCCTTGCACAGGTTTTGGGGATGATCAGCCAGTTTCTTGTGATTGGGACAGTAACCCAACTTGGAAATCTCAGTGGCATGTGCTTCACAGACAAGATTTCTGTAGGAATTTCTTTTACTAGTGTTTGGGTCCAACATGTGATCAACTCTTGAACACCAAAGGCAGGGTGGTTTGAGTCCAAAGTAGTGAGCAAACTTTGAAATCAGAAAAGAAAAGAGTGGGTTCAAGAGGAGGAGGAAGATGAGAATCCACTCAAGGACTGCATAGACTAGGATTACAGTGATTTTGTGGGTGTTTCTGTGCAACATGGTTGCAAACTTGTTGGCAGCCATAGATGTTGCTAGGGTTTCTTGTTATTTACACAGAGAGAGAGAGAGAGAGAGAAGAAGAAGAAGACGAAGAAGAAGAAGAGTGTTTTATGAAGCTTTTAAAACAACAGATACTGGGTGGGTGTGGCAGAAAGAAGCAGAGTTGTACTCCAAAAACAATGTTGTATTGTACTTGTGTTAAGAATACATACTTGAGTTTCTGTAATATTATTACCATATATGAGTATTATTTTTGGATTAGTTTCCTCTTAATTTCAATTTGTTGGGCTCACCATGTGTTCCATTTTAATAATCTAAATCGTTGAATTGATAAGACTTTTCTTATATATTTCATTTATGCAAAAAATCGTTGAATTGGTAAGACTTTTCTTATATATTTCATTTATGCAAAAAATCGTTGAATTGGTAAGACTTTTCTTATATATTTCATTTATGCAAAAAATCGTTGAATTGGTAAGACTTTTCTTATATATTTCATTTATGCAAAAAATCGTTGAATTGGTACATTGATAATCAGATGTTCGGGTGCATATAAGTTTGAAAAGGAGACAGCCTGAAAGTCCCAATAATGAAGATTACATTCAAAAAGCAATAAAAAAAAAAATTATATTTTTTTCCTTCGATAAAAGAAATAAGAAACAGAGATATAAACTGAAAAATAATATAAAAAAGAAACATTTTTTATAAACAAATATGCAACAGATCACAAGTGCAGCATCGGAGTGTAAGAATTTCGGTAGTGAGAATGGAAACGTGGAATGGGAATTTGATTTCATGTCTCCTACATTTTGCCATTTGGTGCATCCAAGGCATGGAATGTCATTCGGATTACCTAAAACAAAGCAAACGAGATTGCCCCACATGGTGGGAATCTCATTCCCACAACCCATGAGAATCTCACATTTCCAAACTATTCAAGAATATTTATAAAAAAAAGGTGGGCCCAAATTTGTTTTTTTTTTTCATATATGATTTTTACTAATCCAAGCATTTGAATGACATAAATGCAAGAATCTTATTACAAGTAATGGGATTCCCATTCCATATCTATAATTCATGCCATCCAAACATAGACTAATTTAATACTTGATGCAAACATACATTGAAGAAATAATAAATTAATTTTTGTAGAAGAATGTGAACAACTCCTAAAATAGGGTGACATCGGCAGGGTCCACCTTTCTTATGGGACAAATGTCCGATTTAAAATTTCTATTTAAAAGACATTACAGGGGTAATTAGTCCATTATTGGCTTTTGATACATCATTTCATAGCTAGAAAACACTTCTTTTCTCAATCACTATATATATACATGACTAAGAAAAAAACAAAGTAGGCTATTATAGGCAGCAACGACACAGCTATAACCGAATTAACCCAAAGTCAAGAGGATTCCCTCCAATCACAATACCCACCATTTTTGAAGTAAATAAATGTCCATATCGCATACATCTCATTTGGGGGTCAACAGATTTTAGCCCCAGAAAAGCAAGCTAAATATATTTGCCAAAACTTGATTGGTTCTGTCACTTATTTGGTTCAAAGAGCTTGCCAACCTCTCAAGAAATGTGTAATTACATACAATCCGTACAGAACGGGTACATTGTAAACATGAATGTGTTATTATGTCACGTGGGCATGAAGCTGTGAAGAGTTGTTTATCCAACGAAGAGAAAGAAGACTAACCTCAACCATACCACGAGCAATCACAGTGAAACTGTGGCTCAGTGCTTTTGAAGCATACTCTCCTCGTGGAAGGCTTTGGCACTGCTTTTCAAGCTCCTCCTCGATGGCCCTTAGATCAACACCATCCCCAACAATTACGAGAACAACCTGACTGTCAGGGCCATGCTCAGCCTGAAAATTAAACAGGAATCAAACAAAGAGATCAGCATAGCAAAATATAGTAAAGCACAGGGAGGAAATGTTAGCACAGATATTACACAGGAATCAAGTTTAGAATAGATATTGAGAGCAGGAACCAAATTTGTCAGTTTTATATCAGTTGAAAAGTTGGGACAAGACAAGCACAAGTATTAACAAAAGATCAAGGTTTGAACAGTACAAAAAGTGGAAGATTAACATATGTTTAATAATTGTGTTTAACAAGACAAGCACAAGTATCGTTTACAAGATCACTTTGGGAAGAGAAGATCAACATTAGTTTAATTATAAATGAGGTTCAAGAGCTTATCGTGAACTTTTAAATACAAGTAGACTTCTAAAATATATTAGAGGGAACCAATGACTAGATCTCAAACGTTTCAAATAGACAAAGGGACATGACAAGACCAACACTCAACCATCAAAGCAAGAGCTCATCAAGAACTAGATGAACTTGTAAACGATATCCTAAATCTTTAACCTCATCAAGCAAGTGAACTGGCCAAAGTTTTTTGCACACCCAATTGAACGCATTTTTATAATAATCTTGACATTAAGAAAAGATGAAATTTCAGGAGCCTATACAAAAGCTGTCCAATAGAAATATGAAGCATATCAAATTGAGCAAACACCTGTGAGAGCAAATCAGCAGCAACATAAACAGGATTGGCATGCTTATCAGCAATGACGAGAACTTCTGACGGTCCTGCAGGCATGTCAATTGAAACCATAGCTTCGCTGTTCTGAGAGAATAAATTATAAAGAGAAAACTGAGTCAAACAATGACAAGAAGCCTGTCCAGGAAGTTCTTTACTACTCCTATGAAGGTGCAGTTCTACAGAAGTATACAAACAAGTTCTAGGAATCAATGAAAAGAAAAAGTATACCTGGAGAATCATTTTTGCAGCTGTGACATACTGATTGCCAGGACCAAAAATCTTCTCAACCTGCAAATTACCACTAATACACTTGAAACAGAGATCTAAATTGACATCATATGGGGAAATATATATATATATATATTTTAGAAAAATAAAACTTATGAAGTAGTTCATTTTTGTTTTTGCTCCACTGCCTTAAACTTGTGAGAAAAATCATCATATGATGTCCATCCAAGACTTGGTTTTAATATATAGTGGGTGTTTGGGAAGTTGGCTATTATAATTTTTGGCTATTTTAGTAGACTAAATTAGTTGTGTTTGGAAAGAGGGTGGATTTTTTTGTAGTTGGATGTGATGTTTGTGAGAGAAAAAGTGAAATGATTATGGATTTGATGTAACATTTTGTCTTATTGGCTATTTTAGCCTATTTTGTCTTTTAGTGCTATTTTAGCCCAAAAAGCCATAAACCAAACTTCCCAGAATAAGTACAGAAGGTTAAGATTTTAATCAGACTCAAATTCAATAAGGATTTCTATACTACTTGTTTTCAAACCATTAACCATTTCAATTATATGCATCGCAATGCAGGACACATGTCTGATAACAGTCGGAATATCTGCAGTTGTGGATATGAAAAGTGAACCAACATGGTTATACCAATATGGGAGCTTGTGCATGAATTTCCCATCTTGGCTTCACAAATTGGGGTACATCACTTGAGAAGAAGAATCCGTTACACATGTAAAACTTAATGGTAACAACATTTTTCCACATCAAATATGTAATAATTGCTCAATTGATCGCTTGATTGATTAATTGAGTGACATTTAAGAGATCAATTTATCACTTGCTAATTTTTAAATTGGGATTGGTTTGTCAAATTGGTCTAGTTCAAGTTCAATTCCATAGGTACTTAGAATTTCAGGTTCCATGAAAATGCAAACTTGCTTATCCACTAAAGCATAATATACTAAAGTTGGGACACACAAGCACAAATACAAGGGCCAACAAAAAGAATTAATCTTGTCATATACATATGATACTAAGAGGAAACTATTACCTTAGGGCAAGATGCAGTCCCCCAAGCCATGGCAGAAATAGCCTGCAATGGTTAAAGAATAGTCAGAATAGTTGGAAAACAAAATTACGAGTTCTAACATATGAGATGTGAGTAAAAGCATAGACTCAAATCCATAACATCAAATTGTCCAATATTTAATGCTCTTCAACCTGTGCTCCTCCAGCTTTAAGAATGTGAGTGACACCAGCTTTCTTGGCACAATAAAGTACCTCCTGCAAAAAATCTTTCATTAACCCTTGATCGTGGTTTTAAATAACAATATTGGGATATGTATTGGTATTGGCAATATGAATATCGGCCAATATCATACAATGTGAACCAATATATTAATGAATAACAGTATCAAAAATCCAAAATCCTAATATGTAATGGGGTTATACTTAAATTCCTGCCCCTGATAATGATATCGAGGTGTGAACAAGTACCTTGCATATACCACCATCCTGAGTAGGGGGAGTTGCAAGAACAACAGTTTTACACCCAGCAATCTGTGCGGGCTGGTGCACAAATAAACAATCTCAACAAATGTGATCACCAATATATTAAGAGCAAAAATAAGATGAATAGCAATGCAATTGAACCAGTACAATTAGCATACAACTGAAAGCATTAGAGCTGTAGAAGGTAACACAGCAGTTCCTCCGGGAACATAAAGGCCAACAGAAGCAATGCTCCTTGCTACCCGCTTGCATCTGACACCCTAAGAGAATAAAATATACACACATCATGTGGGATTTTTTTTTTTTAAATGCAATTTTGTATTGCTTACTTTCATGTTCTCAACACTTTTCTCAGTTGACTTTTGAGCAGCATGAAATGCATATATATTGTTGTATGCCACATCAAATGCTTCTCTAACCGCTGCATCAAGCTGAAACAAAGAAAATTTAGGGATGTGTCGAGCCAATGTAAGTTGCAACTTGCCAATGAATCCAACAGCTATTTCATTTGAACAAATGGGAATAATATAAGCTAAGGTCCAAACTGCAATTTCTTATACTAAACAAGTATATCTAGAAATTTATCCAAAAGTACTTTCCAAGTTTGGATAATTTGTACCTCTGGATCTGGAAGGTCATCAACATTTTCAACTATTTTGTCTAGTTCAACTTTGTCAAACCGTGAAGTGTAACTGCAAAAAAAAACACATCCACCATCTCAGTCTAAACTATCGACGACATGAGCTGGTAGTTGAGAACAATAATATTTCAATTCTAATGAGTTGAGACACAACAAAGAGGAAACAAAATATACAAGAATAATTAATATATCAAAGAAGCACCAACTCTTTAACAGCAGCATCGCCTCTATGGCGGACATCATCAACAATGGGCTGAACCTGATACAAACATCAATGCCGCAATCCAACAATTGTCAACTAAATATGATCAAAGATTAACCAAAAAGAAAGGAAAATGCTATACAAATTAACAAATTTTACAAACTTTTCATACTAACAGATGTGGCATACAATAATAGAACTTTGGAATCTGAAATAAGACCCAATTCAATAATAAAATTACCGACGCATCAGTGAGTAACAGTTCGTTTGTTATATGTGGTGAGAAAAGAAAGAAATTTTTATGTTTTTTCACTACATATTTGAATGTGTAAGAAAGCAAAGCATATGAAATAGGGATATGGGTGGAAAAAAAAAAATTTCTTTCCTTCCTTCTTTTATGGGAAATCTTTGTGTATATATATACATAACAAAAAATGCAACAATTCAGTTTGATTTCTCACCAAATCTCTCACCATTTTTAGTTTAAAATGAAAAGTGGCATTATAAGAGGGTTCCCTTTCTCACCATTTCTTAGCTAATGTGTACACCAAACATGAGAAAGACTTCTTTTTTCTCATCATTTCTCATCAAATCACTCCATCCAAACAGATTGTAAGAAACGTTTATAAAATTTTATAGTTTGCATAGCATTACCCAAAAGATAGAGAGAGAAGTGAAGGACTCACTGTAGTGAAAATAGAGGAAAAATCAATACGAGGACGAGCCTTGAGGCCACTGAGCTCATCCTTAGTAAGTTCTGATAATCTATATGACTTCATTGGGCAGCTTATACTCTCATGACTTGATCCTGCAACAACAAAAAACAATAAATTTAGATTTTTTTTTCTTTCTGGGTTTGAATTTTAAAACAAATTAAGCTTCTTTTCTTTCTGGGTTAGAATTACTCAACAACACTGATACACACAATCTATGAGTGCTATTATGTGTGCTTGAGGATGTGTAAAAAATATAAAATAGAGAAAAAGAAGAAATACCCATGAAGCGGCGGAGGAGTGGTGGAAGTTAAGAGAATAACGGTGGCGCCGCGGCGGAGGTATTGACACTAGGTTTTTAATTTGGGTGGAAGAAGACAAGGGCGTGGCGGAGTTCATAATGGTAAAGTTTTTGACTATCATAAAAAGTTTTGACAATAATTTTGAATTGATTGGGAGATTTTTAATGTCGCGTATGATATGTGATACAAAATTTTATAATTTATAATCAAATATATAATTAAAAATTCTATTAAAATATATAAAAAAAAATTAAAATTTTGAAAAAATATACTTTTTGAAAATATAAAAAAATTAATTAATGTAATTGTAAAATTATTATATATATATATATTAATATATATGCACTGTCAATTGAACTGAACGTATTCAGTGGAACGATCGATTAAATAAATTGTCCCTGTCTCGACAAATATTTTAAAAGTGAGTATAAAATTATGATTGGAAACTCTTAAACAAACATAAAGCACAAATGATAAGATTAAGATCAGCCTCGAATTGCGGCTCGAATTTGCCGTCGAAATCTTTTTTTTTTTTCTTCTTCTGTCTCGTCCAGACCAGAGGGAGGAGCGGAAGAAGAGAGAGATGTAAGGGGAAGGAGGGGGTCCGGATTCGCCCGAAGACTCGCCGTCGCAGTCTCGTCGAGCTCGCACGCCGTACCCGATCATCCGCCCGAACCAGCTCGTCGCAGCAACCTCCAGCCATCCGACCGTACGCCTCCCGCCTCCGCCTCTTGGCCCGCCTCCGCTCCTCCCCCTCCTCCTCCTCGCTTCTTCCTCCGGTGATTATGGCCCCCTCAGTCCGCCCACCAGGTAGCTCCCTCTTCTTCTCCCTTCCTCTCTCTCTTCTTCCCCTCCCCTCCTCCTCTCTCTCTTCTTCCCTTCCCCTCCCCTCTCCTCTGTTCTGTTCAAACGAGAAGAAGAAAAGAAAAAAAAAAAAAAAAAAACAAAATAAAAAAACCCCCAAAACGACATCGTTTTGGGGGCTGCTAGGATTCGAGCCAAATTCGAGGCCTCGAATTCGAGGCCTCTATCACGACTGAATGATATAATAGAATTGCATTTTAAAAAATGCAACCAAACCGAGCTTAAGATTTGACCTCAATAACAAATCACAAATCATGTACGGTGAACTCATATTTCATCCTTTGTCAGGCTATCAGAGATATGATGGGTATGTTTGGTTTGAGTTTAGGAGATGAGTTTTAGAGATAAAAGTATAAAAAGTTGTTTGGTTTGATTTTTTTCAAAATATGTTTTGGAAAATTATTTTGAGAGAGAGTTTTGGAAAAAATGATTGATTTGATGTGTATGAGAGAGAGATTTGTTTGAAAAACTTACAAACCAAACAAGTTTTGAAAAAAAATTTTAGAAAAATTTGATTGGTTTGATTACTTTTGAAAACTTATTTGTAGATACACAAACCAAACAAGGCCGATAGCTCGGAATTAGCTTCGTAAATTTCACATTATTCAGGAGTGTTTAATTTTTAGTCATTTTTTTAGGTTTGTAACAAAAATTAAAAGTTGACTTTTTTGTATTTAAAAGAATTTGGAAAATTGGTTTTCAGCCACTGGTGAAATTACAATTCTACCCTTCATGGGTCAAAATGTGTTACATGAGTGAAGTTGTAAATATTTTAAATAGAATGAGGATAATTTGATCATTTTATTATGATTTGACAGCATAAATAAATATTAATCAAAAAAATCAAAAATAATTTTATACTAACTTCCAAAATCATTTGTCTAAAAAGTCAAAAAAAACTTTGTTAAAAGCCAAAAAAAAATCACTTTTTATCATCTACTCCAAATATTAGTGCGAGGCAAATAAGTGTGCAAATTTTCTTATAAAGAATGCCATTTATCGCTCTATTCAACGAGAATTTATTATTTCAGTCCTGTTAGCTTTGTCTAAATTGATTGAGAAAGATAGACAAGAATCTTGTTTCCTTGATCCCTCTTGTAGTTAACTTTTGTTGTTTATTGGTTTTGGCTCCTCCTTTAACCCCTCCAATAAATAAATAAAACTCTAATTTTGTAATTTTGCTCAATTTAAACCATCAATTGTGCATTAGAAGAACTTGAGTATGCATCATAAATTTAGATTTCTCTGCCTTGTATTCTTGACAGAAAATTGCTAGGTCTAAGATACATAGAATTTAGTGTTGTTCACGCATTGATCAATCTTGGTGTAGTGAAAATCATGTTTATGTAACTAGTGGAGACCTATGATAGATACAACCAAGATTGGACAGATGTGGATGCAAATTGGACTATAAAATCGCTATGGGTGTTGAGTAGGCTGGATTTGTGTGTCTAGATTTTAGTGAGTCTTCTATCTGATTTAATTCCTTGTGATGTGTTGTTATTCGTAGTTTTTCTCTCAAATTAAGGTGTCCACATAAATTTCTGTACGTAGTTGATTGTTTTATATTTCTGCATTTCTTTTTGTTTAAATAACTTCAATTAATTTGCATAATGACTAGTAATTATACCCATCGACTTTGTAATTGAAATGTTTTAAATCATATGATCTCGTTTGTCAACTATATATTTTATCTAAAAAATCAAAAAGTCACTATAAGTTATCACATCATTCTTTCTGTTTTTCTGCATATTTTTTTCGTAAAAAGTCAAAAAATTATTTAAATAGTATGTTCCCAAAAGAGGCCTTAGACACACAAAAAAATATGATTTCAATAGGATCAAAATGAAAAGAATCTCGCTCTCACTTAGGGACGCACTTAGGATTTTTATATAAAGGGACGAACATATATATACTAACAAATTTTTTAAAAAGAAAGTATGAATTATAGTATTAATTTCTATTGGTTTAAAAAGTAAAAATAAGATGAAAATATATATAAATAACATTTTTTTGTATCTATATATTCAGTTACAAAAAATAAAAACTATAAAACAATCTATATATTAAAGTGAGACATCTTGAATTATTACGTTCAATATTAGTTTGTGTCATTAAAAATGTTTATGATAGAATCGATATTAAAATTTTATACAATGTCTTTCTCTATAAACAAATTAAGTAATTAGCTAACACCTTATTCGATTCTTTAAAAACTTGGACTTGTAATTAACAATAGTTATAACAAAGAATTTTTTTTATTATTTTTGTCTTTTTTTTTTTAAATTATATTTTGATCCAATGTTTCATATATAAAGAGTGATAGCAAGCAAAATTTTTCTAAAAGAGAAAAACGTAGCAAGGGCAAGGCTCTATGTTGTATAAATAATTGTAGCTAATATTACGATCTCTTGCCCCCCTCTGGGTCCATTCTTGCTCTCACTCTCTCAAAGTTGTCAATATCTGTTAATACCCAAACCAACATACAAACTTCAAGCTGCAATACCAACATACAAACTTCAAGCTGCAATTTGGAGCATCCAAGATAGTGTGAAATTTCATACTAATAGAATTCAATAACAATCTTCATTACAGTATCTATGTACCCAAATACACAAATTTACACAAAGAACACAAAAGCAAGCACCAAAGTGTAAGTAAATCAAGAAAGGACCATCCACCAGCACCGCTTATTTAAAACAAATCAAAATCCGTGAACTATGTGATCATTAGTGGTAAGAGACAATTCTTGTTTGATATGAGAATCCAATTCAAAGCCGTGGACTTTCAGAAGAAAGAGTTATGTCCCTGAACACCTTCAACCTGTTTCTCCTCAATAATTTTATACCATTTCCAGAAGTGAATTCCCTTTCGTTTTCCAGGAAAGAGCCGTGACCTTCAAAGTTCAAGACCTTCTTTGGCCACGTTGATGAACAGTAATTGTCTGTTCTATCTGTCTTCTGCTGCTGATCAAAGCACAAAGACCGCCTCACTGTTTGGTTCATTGATGAAGATGAATCAGCAGTTTCAGGTTGAGTAAGATACCCGTCTTTTAAATCAAAAGATTCAATATTTTCGCTGAGTTTCTCTATCTGATCGAATGGAGTGAGAGTCTGATGATAAATTATATTGGAGGAATTCATATTCTCATCGTTGAATCCTTCTTCTCCACTGTTCCATTCCTGACAATGGTTTATTCCACTTAACAACTCTTGTTCATCTTCTTCAACCATGTCTGCCCAAGTCTTCGTACTTTTACATATTGAAAAATCCTGGGAGTGTTCTAGATTTCCTGCAACAGAATTGCATTGGCTTTGGAGTTCCTCAGTCAGCTTCACATCATCTTCAATGTGTTGTAGAGAAGATTCACGGTTCACTTCATCAAGATCACGCCATGACCTCTTTTTCCAATCTCCACTAAAACATGGTGAGCCACTTTCTGATTTTTGCGAAGTTGCATTTGACATTTCAAAATTTCCATGCCTCATAATAGGTTGCTCAAATGATAATTTACGGTTAAAACCACCAACTGCATCATCTCCCAGGAAATCCCTTCTCTGATCTCCCCAAAATGCCCTTCTTGGTTGTGTAAATGGAACTTTTGGGATTCCTCTAGCAGGAAGAAATGGAGAACCATATGTTTTCTTGTAGGAGGAACCTATTTCTATTCCACCAGTCCTTTTGCTGCCGAACTCAGCTGTTCTTTCATATGGGTTTTCGTTGTGTGATCCTTTCTTCAATGTATCAGCGAATGAAATGTTTGAACAGTTCTCGCTGTATGATCCTTTCTTCAATAGCGGTGCTTCCCTTGATTCAATTTCTGTCAGCATCTGAGTAGCACGCTCAAAGGATCTGGCATATGATTCATCAAGTTGTCCATCTATAAGTGATGGTCGTATGGATTGAAGCAGAATCTTAGCTTCTGTCGTCCTGTTCAAATGCATCAAGCAGATTGCCAGGTTGCACTGCTTGTTCTTGTCTGACTCAAGAGATAGTGCTTTCCTGCATGAAAACATTTTTATGTGAAAAAATGTCATGTTCCATAGATAATCTCACATTGCATGAAGAACATAAACCTTTCTTTCTTTCATTTTCTTTTTTTTTTAAATACAAGTAATGCATGATAAACATACCTATAAAGCTCTTCTGCGGATTTGAAATTATTCTGCTGCAAGTATGCCCAGGCCAAGTTCCCCAATAACCTGAATCATTTAAAGTCCGATGAATATAAGCAGATTTTTATTTGAATCATATGCTAGAAATAAGAAATGGGCATTTAAAAAGAGAATATAAGCAATATAACAACCTTGAATACTCTTGATCAATGGTGATTTGAATCTTCTTCCCTTGAGATCTAGCAGCTTTTGTTCTCTTCCCCCCAAATGCCATGCCTTCTTCAATAGTCTTCACTTTATGTTGAAGCATTTCAATCTGTTCTTCAATCCTACCAGATCTCTGAAATAGCATGGAAATGTATACTCAGATTTGTTTTCATCACCAATTAAAAAGAGTATTCAAGATGTCAAACTATAACTATTACACGTAATGGGAAAGAGAAAATAGAGAAAGAAGAAAAGTTTTTTATTAGGATCATTGTGGAACTAAAACCCTTGAGCATGAAATCAAGAAACTACTAAAATGGTATTTTGAATTCATCATGAGACTTGAAATCCGTCTCTAAACTGTCAAATCTAAATTTGAACTAGGTCCTTGAAAGATTTCCGATCCATTAAATCCAAACACAACTATTCAATGCCATGAAAAACTAAAAAAGACTTTTCCAAATGCTATGAAATCACATGAAAACCACCCATATACAAAAGTCGCATTTCCGAATTCTCTCAATTGTTACCAACAAATTTCACATCAGATCAACAACTATATCTATGGTGATAGACAAGGTCAGGTTCGAAGGATTGTGCATACCTTGTAGAGTTCAACTAGCACGTTGTCAAGAGATTCCTGAGATTCAAGGGGGCATAGATGGCGAAAAGATTTAATGGCCTCAATTGCCTCATCAGATCGATTCAGTTGTTTCATTGCAACTGCCATGTCTTTCAAGGCACTATCAACTCGATCACCAGAATTTATTGCAGCCCAGAAGAGGGAAATGGCCTTGCTTGGATCCTTTTCTATCAGCTGTCAATCAAAACCACGCATACATAGACATGGTGATCAGTGAATGAATTATGATGAAATCACTCAACTACTGATTAAATAGCGGGCAAGATTGAAGAACACAAGTCAAAACCACACGTAAACATGGTGATTAGTGAAATAAATAATGATGAAATCACTTAAACACTGACAAAATAGCGGGAAAGATTAAGGAACATAAGTCAAAACCACATATACACTATGCGGTGATTAGTGAATGAATAATGATGAAATCATTGGACTACTGATGACCAAATAGCGGGCAAGATTCCAGAAAACAGTTCAGAGCGTTTTTTAAGTTATCCAAGATTCCAGAGAACAGTTCAAAACCACATATATACACATGCAAATTAGATTGTTTGTTCCAGAAATTTCACATTTATTATAATTTTAATACATTTTATTCTAGTGTTTTTTCTGAAATTCACCAACAAGACCAATATGGAAAATGACTTCTTTCACTCCATCTTTGACCAGAAATAAAAGAACTAAAGCAATATTGACTAGAAAATTTTTCAACTCATTTTACCCAAAAAAAGGGGTTAACCTGCAGTGAGATATATTGAACAAAATGATGTATTCTATTCACTCAATCTTTTACCGTGAATTTTTAAGTAGATGGTCTGTAATCAGAGAGAACATATTTATTTTTTTTTCACAATAAATCTCAACTATTCACAAGCATCAAGTCAAATCAAAGCAAAGACAAAATAAATCAAGAATATGCCGGAGAAAAATGATTTCTGTCAATGCTTATCAGGAAAACTCTAGATGGTCAGACCTATGAATACAATGTTAGCATACTATCTCAGAAAACACTACATTTTTTCAAATTAGTAATTAAAAGGTTCAAGAAAATAAAGTTCTACTGGAAAAGAATTCCATGAAAAGACCAATTGGATGAGCTTCAATTTTCATAAAAAATGGAAAAGACCCAAAAGATTATTAAACAACGAACCTCATACAGATGAAGAGAAAACAAAAATGAGAAGCAGAGAAACAGAGTAAGAAAGAAAGTGGCAATTCTCGGAAAACAAACACCCAATAGGAAAATGATTCCATGAAAAAACCAATTTGGTTAGATTGAATTTTCACAAAAGATAACAAACACCCACAAAAGATTATTAAACATTGAACACCATATGGATAAATTACATTCATGATCCAAAGATTTAAAAAAAGAAAAAGCAGAGAAGAAACAGAGTAAGAAAGAAAATGCAAAATTATTGGAAAACAAAAACACCCAATATCAACAAAATCACACGATTCAATTCAAACCCATTTCTGAAAAGACTCTGACCTGAACATGTTTAGCCCTGACATAGGGAGAGTCACCGGAGGGGACTTTGTGAATGACATGGAAGAGATCAGCTTTAGCCCGAGTCGAATTCCACACCTTCTTCTCCGATAAAGGCCTCACCGGAGTTCCCGGAGACCACCGCCTTGACTTCCCGGTATGCGGCGGCGGAGTCGAGAACCCCCTGGCCGGAAAATTCTTGTCAGTAGTCCACATTTAAGACGCTTTACTTTCTTGGAACAATCTTGAATATGAGTTGTTGGGTACAAAGGCTTTGGACCCTTTTCTTGATTGAGTAAGAAAGTACTTTCAGTGGTTCGAAAACCACTTTCTTTCAATGGAAAATTCTTCTCACATAGAGAGAGACAGAGAGAGAGAGAGAGAGCTCTGTGTGATGAATGGAAAACGCTAGGAGGAAAGGAAAGGAAACGAGATAACTAGCCGTTATTATAAGTATCCGTTCGGAATCGAGTGATGCATGAGTTGTCACGTGCAAGTTTGTCTTAAAAAAAAATCAACTGTTTTTCAAGGTCTATGCTCACTGCATCTCTCCCTTTTACGACGTGGTTGGCAAAAAGTTGTGTTTGGGATTTTAAATAATTTATTAATTTTTTTATTAAATTTTTTACACGAATGCTGGATTTACGCACATGAGTTTGTGTGAGTTGCATATTTATACGAGAGATTTGGTAAAAAAAATTAATAAATTATTTAGAATTCATAATATTTTTTGTTTGCAAATTTACTGCATTTTAATTAATTTCTTTTATTTTTTTTTGAAAAAGTTTGTAAAAAATTAGAAATAAGTGATGTGATTCTTTTCTTTTTAAACTCAGAAGTGATGTGATTTGATATTTTGATTTTTTCAACTATCTTAGTCAAAATGTAGCTTTTCAAATGAGAAATTATTGGTTGATTCAGGAGCAACGTCACATGACTCACCACATGCATTATGATTGGTGAAAAAAGATAGAATTTATTATTTTGTGTTGAATGATTAAAAAATATAAGGGAACATAAGATTTTATGATTGACCTGGGTACGTAATGTCCCAAAACTGACCAACAATTTTTGTTCCCAAACACTCCCTAGATTTCCTCTGATTTTGACATATGATGGCCTCTCAATCTCAAATAGATTTGGGAAATTATTTGAATGGTTTTGTACATCATCATGTGTTGGTAAATTTGAGATTAGTATATACATCAAAATTATTATTTTTGAATTAATATGTCGATAAAAACATCTGGTAAGTTAGGTTCAACATATTTGGTTTGAGCGGCATATACATAAGTTGACCTTCGAACTTGGATTGAGGAGATTTCGTCTTTCTTTCATGCGTTGGTCTTTCAAGAGCCTTTAATTTACTCCTAACATTTTTTTGTTTGCTTTCTTCTAATTAAAAATACACATATATATATATATATATATATATTATACGATTACGTGGTTTGTTTATATAGATAATAATTTTTTAAGAAGTTATTTGAAATAAAAAAAAAACATATTATACGATTATGTGTTTGTTTATATAAATAGTAATTTTTGAAAAAGTTATTAGAAAGATCTGATATATACGTAAACCGTATCTACCAAATAATTGAAGAACACATCCATTTAATCTGGAAATTAAGAAATACAGTGATTATGTGTGTCTCTACAATTAAAGGTCGGACCTATTAAATAATTTTTTAATTTTTTTTTATAGACAATACCAATTGATAATTGATGTAGTCTGTAGAACAATGCCCCAAGCCTTACGAGAAGCTTGCATTAGCTCACATTTTGATATAGAAATGATATTTCACTAATTTTTTTTTTATGTTTATTCAACTTGCATTCTTTCTCACAACTTTTTTATTCGTAACTGGTAGTAACGAAATTTAACAAAATTTAACCCTATCCGCACAAACCGCAAACCGCACTGCGAGCGATTGCGGGTTGACTTTTTTCCAAACCGCATAGATGCAGGCGGATCAAAACCGAACTGCAAACCACACAAAACCGATCCGCGAACACCCCTAAATATAATGAGTACAACTACAACTCAGCTGTTAAAAACACTATTTTATTTTATTTTATTATTTTGGGAATTTGAACTTTTTCATTTTATTACTCAACAACCAAAAATAGAAAAAGAAAAGAATTTTAGGAGATCAAGATAATTTGTTTATAAAACAATATTAATTGAAACAAAATAAATTTTTTTAGACTTTTGTCAAAACACATCTCATTTGTCCAACACACAAATGAGATGTGTTTTGACAAAAATATATAATTCATTTTCTTTCTCATTTTCCTAATCGAACCAAAAAGGAAAAAAAATTAACTTTTACTTCATCTTCTTTTTGTTCACATCCAAAACCTTTTTACAAACCCAAAAGTAATCTAGTTTGCCTGTAAGGAACATTAAAAATTAATTAGTTCGAATTAAATTCTATAGTTTCTAGAAATCAGATCATGAACTTGGAACAGTTAGGTGCTATTCCAGTCCCATACAATTTCATAATTGTGGGTTACATCTACATTTCTAGGGCATTCACCTTCCCTCCTAAAGAGAGCAATCTGTGATGCAAATCCCGGTTCCCTGTCGACAGCACCACCGACTCCGCTGAATTCAACGCTGTAGTTGTGCCTCATGGCGAGGTTAGAAGCCCACCGGCTGAACTGCTCTCGGGTCCACTCAAACTTGTGGTCATGGTTTCGGAACTTACATGATTGTGATTGGGTTTTCTCATCTGGATCATCTTCTTGGCTTTGCAGAGCGGATCTCTGGAGTATCACATTGTACTCATAATTTGGCGTGGAGACGATTAGAATCCTTGGACAGAAAGAAGTGAGCACGACATCACCAAATAAATGTGCTTGATCTTCCTCCATGTGCTCAATCACCTATTGTTCATCGTAACCACCGATGCAAAAAACCGATCAAATGAGAGAATATGGATGGAAAATATTAAGTTTAATGCACAAATCAGCAGAAGGTAACCGGTCATGTATTAACTAAGCATGATCTCTAGGCAAATCATGGATTAGGAGAGTCAAGTACCTCCAAGCAAGTGCCAATATCAAACCCATACAACCGAGAATCAAAATCTGTGATGGAACCATAATACAGTACAGCAGATTTGAGACCCGCACTTGGCACAGTAGCATCAGAACTTCTACTTAGTTTTGAATGGATTATCTGCATTGTTAAAAGAGAATGACAGTTGTAACCAGAGGTTAAGCACAAAAAGTGAATCATACTAGGAAAATTAATTCAAAAATCAATATCTGATGAGTGCAAATTAATTCATAAATATGATTCGCAACATGTTCATCTTTCTTCAATTTCATCGATGAAATAACAGATACGACAACTAAATCAGTCAAAATCAATAAGAAAGAAGCTAATTTGAAACTTGGTATCTATAAATGTTTCAACCTTTGCAGCACGGGTAAGAGACTTCCGGGAAATGTCAACACCAACAATTTTCTCAAGAGAAGTTGGGTATTCTAACAAAGAATCCAGTAAACTTCCAGAGCCACATCCAAAATCAACCTGCAACAAAAACAGAAATTAATCTTAAAGCTCAATATCAGGTATGAAAGTAGTCATCACAAAACATACAACACAAACCAAAGAAGTAGCGCAAGATTCTTTAATCTGCTGCACTGCATATTCTACACGCTGCTTTGATAGAGGGGGACTGAATAGAGCCTGCTCCATTCTGTCCTCCAAGGGTTCCGTCACACGCAACAGAGTTGTGGAGCACTCTAAGCTACAGCCTCCTGCCAACCAAAAAAAATGGAAATCATAAAACGAAAAGAAAAAGAAAAAGAAAAGAAAAAAGAAGTGTACATAGTCAAGTGCAATGCATAGCCAGTTGGATCTAGGGTCAACATGAAACAAGCTGAACAAAATATAAGAGAATTATTCGGAAGTTCCATTGGCTGCTATAATAATCATTTCCGAGTAGAACTTGTTCTTTCTAGAAGTCCATTAAATGCAGCGAGTTGCATATACTTTAAATAACTCCTTTTCACATCTCCAATTGCCATATTGGCATAACTTTTCCCTTTAAATCATTATTTGCAACATATTTTGAGCAGAATGTTGAAAATGAAACTGTGAAACCTGACAGGTACTACCCAAGGAAAGGAAAAGGTTACTATTAGATCATTGGTGCCATATGACTGAAGTAGCAAATGATAGTTTTTTCAAACTTTCCTACCATTTACAAGGAGCCAAGACATTCCAGCAACCAGATAAAGAAATAAACCTTCACAATTTAACATATAGATGAATGGAGAATTCTTATTACACTAGGTGCAGCTAGATGCATAATGCAATGCAACTTCATGAAATCAACATCGTAGGAGGGAGCTGAAGCTAATATTTAGTATGTAACTCACTTGAAGTTAATAATGAAAGAACTCTAGAAGAATCACGAGCTGAAGCTAAAATCAACTCTTGAGGGGGCAAGTCCATATAAAACCTTGCAGACTGACCCACAGACATCTGTGTCGCAACTGCTTCAAAGGAGGAAATCACAGATCCAGTCCCCATCTCAAACTCAAATTCTTCGTTACTTTCAATCAGTTCTTTCATATATTCTCCTTCTGTAACCAGACATATGGTATAAATTATACATACTAAATATCCATTAGATGGAGAGACTCCAGAGTCTGGACCTTCGATGGTTATAGGACACACTGTATCTCCCACCGTACCATTTACCTGATTCATACAATTTAAATCTAGTAATCTGCCATCTTCAGCCCCACTGCTCTGCCAAAACGTATACACAGATATGCATAGAGAAAACTCTTTAAAGAAGAATTGGGGATGAAATTGGATGTCAAGAACATCTCCAGATGAGGTAAGCTCCTCCAAAGGCATATCCAGTTTCTTAAAATATTTATTTAACCATGAGAGAACCTTCAAAGAAGCATTTTGGATGGCATCATTCTGTTTCTTAAAAGACTCTTTTGGTGAACACTCAATAATCAAATCTTGACACTTAGAAAATATTTTGACTTCACATTTAAAAGTCCCTTTGGCTGCCACTGATTTACCGTCGCCAACAGCATTACCACCTCCATTTGTTTCTGCATTGCCTGACTCTGTAACCTTCAACTTCTTTTGCAATCCAGGTGACTCTGGCAAAGATTCCAGGGAATTAACATTGGAGAAGACAGGTTCAGATAAACGGTGCTGACGGCAGAATGTACAGAGGAGATCCCTTGGGAATGAACCCCTCCAATTGGTTCGTGTAGTGAATGCTCCAGGCAACTCTGCTGCAAGTATTGCCTCTCTGGACAATTTGTAAACTCCACTAGGTATCTTACCAATAAGTACCCTGTAAAATAAGTTCTTATGCCGGTTAAATAATGCAAATTTCAAAGTATTTAATGACTAAAGAATCTCACGATGTTGAATGCATCACACAAGAGGGCAAGCTTTAGCACAACAGTAAGGTTGCTCCATTGTGACCAGAAACAACCTCTCCATACGTGTGGGGGCTAGTCTACCTACATCCATCTGTTGAATATAGAAATTAGAATATATAGAATCTTTTTATTTTTAGTATTATGTATATAATCTGTGATTGTGTCAATCACTGATTTAGTATTGTTTCCTTATTTATATCATTTCTTAAATTGTATTATGAATCTATTATATATACATGACCTTTACCTCATTCATGGAAGAAGCCAAATAATTCTTTTCATTCTTTTTGGTATCAGAGCTATAAGTTAAGCTCTTGGTGTTCTTCACCTTACCGGCGGGAGACAAACTTGCCTTGGTTGCCCGCCGAACCTCAACTTATTTCGCTACCATATTTTTTCTTTTTAGTATCGCTTCATGGTGATCTCTTTTTTTATCCACTGGTTTATTCATATCCCAAATATCTCAATCATATTTTTTTTTATTCGTAATCCTTTTTTTTTTTTTTTTTTTTTGTGCTTCTGCTCCACTCTGTCTTTCCCTCTACTTCAACCTCAAATAGGTTTCTATCTTCAAACCTATTTGAGTTTGAGGGAGAGGGGGGAGGTTTATATACCTATATCATGGTGAGCACGGTTATCCACCATGTGAACCACCCAAGTCGATCCCCTGGTGCACTCAGGCATCTATTGTCATTATCGTTCAGCACCACGTCATAAGTTATGTGGTTTAGCATCCAGTTCTCTACATCGGTCCGACATAACCCCTTTAAACTGTCCCCATATTGATTCTGGTTAGTCACTACAACGATTCGACATGACCTCTTAAACTGCCCCGACATTGATTCCGGTTAGTTCCTACAACGGTCCGGCATAACCCCGTAAACTATCCCGACATTGACTCTGGTCAATTCTCGTAACGGTCCGAGATGACCCCTTTAAACTGTCCCGATATTGATTCTGGTCAATTTCTTCTAGGGCAGTTCAGTCCCTATTTTTTTTCTCTTTCTAGGGTGTGGTGTTGATGTATTCAGCACTTTTTGACTTCTTTTATTTAGTGAACTACCAGATTTGTTCGGTAGCATTTATTTGGACTAGCCGTTGAGTTTTTTCCGACTTCTTCCAATCCTCCGTTGGCAAGTTGCAATTGTTGAATACCTTCACACCAGCTCGAGGGAGAGTCTTAAATATAAAAATTAGAGTATATAGAATCTTTTTAATTTTAGTATTATGTATATAATTTGTGATTATATCAATCACTGATTTAGTATTGTTTCTTTATTTATATCGTTTCCTAAATTGTATCATAAATCTATTATATTTACATGGTTTCCACTTCATTCATGGAAGAAGTCAAATAATTCTTTTCATTCTTTTCTATCTAACCCTCCACAAACCCCAAAATGGCGAGAGCCTCATGCACTAGGCAGCCATTTGTTGAATGCATTACATGAGACATTACAACCATTCACCACCACAAGATACCAAACAAAAAATTTCAAATTGGATGTGGATGGAAAAATGGCATCAACCTTCTTGAAGTATCTATCTGTGGAGCAACACGGCTAGCCCAATGGTGGGGCACTTCAACTCAGCTCATCAAGACAGGGTCTGCTCGTGCGGGCTTCACAAATTTTGCTCCTCTGCTCGAGCGGCCATTCTCGCGCTTGAGCGGGATTCGTCAACTTTCAATATTTCTTTTGCAGGTCTGAAAATATTGAAAGTGTGCATTGGACGCTCGAGCGTCCAGTCCCACTCTCGACCAGGGACCTTTGTTTGCAAAACTTCTAGAAATGTGCATTTTACGCTCGAGCGCCAACTTTCACGCTCGAGCGGCGCTCGAGCGGGGCTTTCCACGCTCGAGCGGATTGTGCGTATAACAGTCCGAGAAGATGATATTTTGAACCACTTTTTCATCTCTCTCTTTCTAAAACTATCCAAAAAGCTTGTTCTTGAGCCTCTCTCTCTACAATTTACCTTCTCTCTTAGATTTCATCTAGAATCATTGGAATTTCCACCCTAGTGCCTTTGAGAAAAAAGTAGAACTCGTCAAGATCTACATTTTGATCCGAATAGAAGTGGGTTTCGGTGTTCTTGGAGTTTCTTTCTTGCGTGGCTCATCTTCTTTCTTTGAGGTAGGGATATTCTACACTTTATTATGGTTTTTAACATAGTTATTTGTTGTTATGTATACATGGAAAGATTTGGAGTGTTTGGAGAAAATCTAGGGTTTTGGGTTCTTGCTCTAGAAAGAGGGGCTTCCATGTAATGTTACATAATTGACTATGGGGTTTGGATATGAGGATATCTTGTGTTAAAATAGTTGATTTTGGCCTTTGGGTCAATATTTAAAAAAAAAAAAGGAGAAATTTGCCCTAATATATATATCGAATAATTATTATGTATAAATAATGGAATAGAGATGAGAAATGTGAAATTGGAAGAATGTATAAATGAATAGTGTAGTTAGATTTGTTTAATCACTCATCCATGGGAATTTGATAAATTATACGTTATAAAGATTGTATATCTGTTTAGAAATATCTGTATTGGGCTATCGGTGGAGGATAGCTATGATTGTTGTAAAAATTGCATGAGGATTAGGAGAATTAAAACTAATCACTTATCTATGTCATTGAATATGACAATGCGTCGATACATTGAAAGTGTGTAATTGAATGTCATTGAATATGACGGTGACTTTAAATACATTTTATATGTATGATATGTTGGGAGGAGAAAGGGGATATACTCCATGTTTTGGGAGGAGATAGGGGATAGACTCCATTAAAAATTAAGTTGGCTGGAGTGTCCAAGGTGAAAATCCCGAAATCTTATGTATACATGGGTGCCGATCCCACGGACGAAATTTCCGTAAAATGACATAGTTGATATGTCTATATATGTTTGAAGTGTTGAATAAAAACCATTGAATTGTAGTTTCAGTTGGGTTATTCAGAGAATTATAAACGTAGCTTAAGAATTGAAATGAAATGAACTCGTTTGAGATGAATAAATGGGAATTGATGCAAATATAAATGTTGATATCATGTGACCATGTGAGGGAGACGTGTTCTGGTCTTACATATTGAATATACGTATTTGACACTTATACCTTAGTTAAAATCTCATATATTGTGTTAGACTATTCCTACTTGGCTTTGGTTCACCCTACTTGAGAAACCATTTTCAAGTACTGAAGACATGCTTCCTCCAAGATCGTAACTTGGAAGGATCTAAGGGGTTGGGGGCTCTATTTTGTCATTTTGTGTTCAAATGTTTATTCAAACCTTGGGCTATATATGTATAGAGCTTATGATTCTCTTTTGTTATAACCAAGCTAATGTCTTGGAAAGATGTAGGCCAGTACAGCACTTTATTTCGTTGTTATTAACTCACATCACATGCTATAGATTCAGAATGAACATTTATGAATATATGAAACATGTGATACCCTTTGTAATATAAACTCTGATGAATGGAAATACCATAACTTTATTATATCCTTTTCACTTATGAGTTGGATTGTTTGTATTATTTTGAAGGTGTCACAACTTGCTCTCCCCCATCCCCCACCTTGTGATCACAAAAAATAAAAAATAAATAAGCACCTATGACATAATCTGATTACCCCCGGTCACAATGGCTCTGTTTGGTAGAGCTGTGGGAAAGTGATTATAACTTATAACCTAACAGCTTATAACTTATAGCTGTGAACATAAGCTGATTTTTGACTTATAAATTAAGCTTCTCCTCCCTCACTCAAAAAATAAGTTGATTTTTTACTTACAAAAAGCTATAAGCTGTATTGTTAAGCTGAACCAAACACATCAAAATAACTTAAATTAAGCTAAAAGATGAAATAAGCTGGAAATAAGCCCTACCAAATAGGGCCAATGCCGCCTTGATTTTTTATTTTATTTTTTTGGAATTGATAGAAACACTTTTTGCCAGTTTTTTCTCAGACTTACAAGGATATTAATGATTTAAGATTAAAACTGCAGTTATATTAAATTTATGAAAAGATTTAAAATAATTAACATGTGACTAACAATTGTTGTTTGCCTTAGCATAAATGTAAACAAAATGCAGCACAGAATAAGAAGGTTCATTTATAACCCGGATTCCTTCTGAACCGTCAGTGGACCTTGTTGTTTTCATCATCTGTCTTTTCTCATTTCATTTTAAATGCCACGCCCACACGCACCCCAAAATAATAATAATAAATAAATAAATAGAAATAGTGACACTTTAATCCAAAATAAATCTTTCTTAACCATGATACTTCATTTTTTTTTCCTTTTTTGATCAGAGAAAAGAAAATTTTATTAAACAGAACTCTGTTACTTCATTTTAAAAGCATATTTCTTCACTCCTAACCTCAAACTAATTTTCATACCCTTGATCAAACAATGACATACTTTGGTATCCTTGCTATGCTTGATCTGTCTCACTTTTCCTCCCTCTCCACGTCGGAGGCTCATTTGCATGACCTTGACCAAAAACCCAATTTTCAGTTTTTAGCTGTCAATCAACTTCACAGAATTTCTAAAACCTATGTTACCTAAAACGTGGATTGTTCCAGTACATGGAAGGGGAAGGAGAATGGGAACGTGATATGTCACATGCTCTAAAATATAGTACGATAGAAGTAGACTTATAGATATTACACTTAAGAATAATGTAAGTAGTTTTCTTTTAACTAATAGGTATCCAATAATATATATATATATATATACATTTTTTCATGTAGCAAATTATTTCTATGAAAATTATGACCCATTTTTTATGTTTTTATCTTGTCAAAACTTAACTACCTTTAGATTTTAGTTCATATATTTGATTTTTTTTCTCCTAAGGTAACATTTAGGGAAATATATTGGAAAAAACTTTTGGGATCGCTTTGGATCACTAAATTTACCGTTTTGGAGAAGTGTACCATGTTTTGGAACGTGCGTACCAATATGTAATTCGTTAGGGTATTAGCGTTTTTCGGTAACATAATCTAGAACACATCAGCTTTGACAAACTAACTAAACAGAAGTAAATTTTAATTTTAAATTGACATTAAGACATTACCATAAGAGAGAGGCAATGCGTTGAAACTTCCATGACAAAAGTACAATGAAGGAGATAATAATTGATAGGGTGTAATGCAAGTTATGCATTTTTTTTTTTTTCCAAAACACTATTAAATGATTCTGAATTCTGTTTTATTCAATACAAAAGAATTAAAAATGTGTGCCAAGCATAACTCTGAAGTACAAAGGTGCTAAAGATTCTAATACAAACTTTTCAGAAATTTGTGGAATGACAGCAGTAGAGGGGTGCATATGGTGGGACGAAGTAAAACAGAGTCAGAAAGAGACCTGCAATATGTGTGCAAGGACACGTCTTCATAGAAAAGATCAGCAGACTTCCAAGTATATCCAATGGATGCTAAAATTGCATGACCACATATAAGATGGCCAGATAAGTAACTTGCCCTGGCATTTAAAGAACCATTTAATGGAACAGATTACGGTGACTTTAAATACATGTTTGTGGAATGACAGCAGTAGAGGGGTGCATATGGTGGGACGAAGTAAAACAGAGTTAGAAAGAGACCTGCAATATGTGTGCAAGGACACGTCTTCATAGAAAAGATCAGCAGACTTCCAAGTATATCCAATGGATGCTAAAATTGCATGACCACATATAAGATGGCCAGATAAGTAACTTGCCCTGGCATTTAAAGAACCATTTAATGGAACAGATTCTGTTGAGTGGAGAAGTTCTGATGACGAATCCCCCAGACATGACTCGGGAGCACAAAAGTACAATCTCTTCTCTGAAGAAGCTTTGCCAATAGTCCTGTAAAAGACGAGGGTTCTCCAAATAAATAGATATTTCAATAAAGGACACTCATTTCAGTAAGAGAAATGAAAGGAGCCATTCTCCCTGGGGATGGCAAGTCAACTCTGAAAATGATCCTAGGTTTTCTCAACGATTTCTTATCATGCTTTTTAGATTTATGAAGATATTTAGGAGTGACTAGACTAGTTATTTAAAATTTGCATGCACCGTTGTTTCTTGTGAATTTAAAGATAAAGGATGCAATCCTGGATGCTGATCATGAAGATATGTGCCCGTTTTTCTCAGTAAATGTAATACTTGTGTGTGTGCACACTAACAGACAAATACAACCACTTGGGACATGATGAGATGGGGCTTTGAAATTGAGTCGGGGTCAAGGTGGCTGCTCTACATCATACATGGCAGATTGGGGTCGGGACAGGAGCGGCCTGCCCAGCCCAATCTGTTGCCATTCCTAATCCTCTCTAGTTTTTCAAGACATGTAACTCACACTTAGAGGGTGTTTGGGATGATCTAAATAAGTGCATTTTTTGACTTTTTACGAAAAGATGTGCAGAAAAGTAGAGAGATAATGTGATCCAAAAAGATAAAAAAGATAAAAAGTGTGTTATTTTAGGGGATGCCAAATAGTCCTTGGGTTCAAACAATACCTATCACAGTTCCAACCCACAATTCCACCACTAGATGATTTGTCCTTTCCATACTTGCAATGAACAACAAATATAAGTCCTATTGCACAGCCCTATTCACTCCATATTAGAGTTCCTTGTTAAACTTTTAGTGGAAGAGATATGAGTTTATGGATTGATAACTACCATATTTGATCATAGGAGAATCTAAAGCAAGCATAAGAATCATAGAATATGGGTTCCACAAAGAGTCATGAAGATGTAAATTGCATATGGTAAGTGTAAGTGGGAAATGACACGTAACTATGTAAACACAAGTTTGTCTTAATGTATTCTAAAATACTATCACAATTGCTATAGAACAGTCCACGTTAGATCAACTTCATTTTGTCATTTAATGAGTGCTGCAGTTAGAGATTCATCTAAAAAAAGAATTAAGAATGAGACTCAGGAAACATGAAAATTCACATAAAAAGATATTCAAGAATGAGAATCTGCACAATAAAACATAATACTAAAATTTGTGCTTTACATTACCTGGAAACCAAAACCTTAGAAGCATCAGTTAAACCAAGCTCCTGAGCAATAATATCCAAGTAATAACCATTTGAAGCAACATTAAGAGTTAAGGGTTCAACAGTCTTCTCAACTGAGTACGGAATTCGCACCACTTTAATCAAAATAGAGTCCAGTAAGCTTGATTGTTGGTCAACCACAGACTGTACAATCTCAGGAGGGTATGGATTTTCCCTCTTCATCGAAAGCTGTTCTTCAGAAGCAGACACAGAACCCGATAATCTTGAAGCGGCCTTCAGCATAAGTGACATAATCAACAGTGGATTTGACTCAACCTTAGGATTTATGCTTTTACATAAACTACTGAACTTTGTATCATAGACGGCAAGGACAGAAATTGGAACTAAACCATTGAGTCGACCCTCTCTCTGCAAAGCTGCTCTAAAGTGACCACTCAGGGGATGAAGAGATTTAAGGAACTTCACAAATAGCACAAAAATAAAGAAAAGCACTGTCAATCCAATCTTTCAATGTTCAAATAAATTGATGCAGTACAGGTGCTTAACATATACCAAGATTAACTAAAAATGCATTATATGATATGCTCAGTTTCAACAGAATCCGATTCCATAAGAATATAAACAGAAGATTAAGCTACTAGATGACTTACACATAAGCCAAGCTAACAGCTTTTCCTCAAAGTCGTCAAGTAATAAGACCTAATTTTGACAAGCAGGAGTTGCACCAATGGAGAATTATTGGGCTTGGGGATTATAAATTGTTCAAAACTTCTCCCATTCACATAACACGTAAGTTAACTAATAAGTCAGGACAACAAAACAATGAAATGCACTGCTTCATCAGTAAAAAATGGTCCATCGCACATGCAAGAACACAAAAGAAAGGCTGAGTTGCACATTTGATTGATTAACTTTTTCAAAAAGAGATGTCCATCACACGTTACACTCTCTGAGAAACTTGGGGTGATGAAAATTAGTAGTCAGCGAGAAAGAACAAGTATACCTTTCATTGTATTATCCCTATCTTCATTTGACCCATTAATAATGTATTAACTCCTAGCCTAAGTCAATGAAGTCATCCTCAAATTTAGTAGAGCAGTGCAGCCACTTATAAAAGAGGATATCTCTTTGATGAGACAAAATAGCAATCCATGTATCATAAAATCAAACTATAATCAACTGTGTAGCAACCAAGAAATAAGTAGAAGGATTTTTTTGATGCAAAATCATTGCACATCTCAAACAACCAAAAACAAAATTGACAGGTGGATAGGAAATGTGATGCAAGATGGTACTGTAATGACTCCTAGCCTAGTCAATGATGTAATCTTTAAATTTAGCAGAGAAATGTAGCCACTGATACCAGATGAGATCTCAAAAAACAGAATAGATATCTATGTACTATAACATCAAGCTAAGATTCCACAAGAGGGTCTGTAAGAACATTGGGGGTGTTCGGTGAAGATTATTTTAAGCTAAAAGCTGATAATCAGAAAGCATAAGCTAAAAGCACTCCTCCCCCAGCTTCTGGAAAATCAGCTTATTTAAGATATCTCTGCCTAATAAGCTATATGGAGAAGCTACACCAAACAGTCTGTCACAAACTCCCAAATTAAAATAAGCTATAATTTGCTTATTTTATCCCCACATGTCACCATAACATCAAGCTTGTGGATCTCTTTCCACAAGATAAAACAAATACACTAGATTTCATGAATCATTTGAAACAAAAATTAGAATGACAACATAAACATAAGAGCTTCTTTTGGAGGGCAACATGTTTATAAGGTTTATCTACAAAAAAATGTTTATATTATAGCAACAAAGCTGAAGGGCAACATGTTTATAAATTATAAAAATAAAATGAAATAACACAATACAGTGATTTCGAGACATTAACAAAGAAGGATAACTTCTCACTATGTAAAATGGAAGCTAGTTTGTCATTCTTTACTTCAATATAAGCAACCTACCTCATTTGAAAATAAATATGAGAGACGCGAAACCAACTCATCCCAAGGATCCTGTACAGTGGTATCATCAGTTGCAGCATTGATACCTAGCTGCAACAAAAGAAAAAGAAGGAAAAAAAAAAAAAAAAACACAAATGAGAAAATTTTCTTTTGATTAGTCAATTAGTGATTTCCCATGGGCATGAGAGACAAACAACAATAGGCTAACACTGGGCATTCATTTTGAGTACAACTAAGCATATGATTTCAAATTTTAAGTTAAATAAGTGAAACCCAATGGCCCTAGACAGTGCACAGCCAACATGCAGCCAAAGTCAAAAATCAAGCAAACAAAAACAAAATGATTAAAAAGTCACAAGAAAAACAAAAAACAAAAACATGAATAAAACAAAACAAAACCTTCAGTAGCGCCATCTCTGCAGCAGACTGTTCTGCGTCCTTTTTTTTCTTAAAGGTTTCTGATACAACAGAAAACTCTGGAAGTTGCAAGCAGCAGCGATAAAGACAAGGTCCCTTCTGTGGAATGGCTAACCCTGGGCATTCATTTTGAATAGACTCCTGTACTTCCTCAACCGTATAGCATGCTTGGCTGCCAAACCTCTGGTAAATAATGGCCTTAGGTGATATCTTCTTTACTGCGACAGCTGGGGGCCCTCCCATTTCCATCAACCCCCTCCAGGTGAATAGGGATAAATTATTTGACAAGATATATTAGCAGATTCTAATTAGCCTCCTGTACAAAAATATGTCAAAACCAAGTCAATCATAGAATATAATTCATTAAGATTAAGGAAAAGAGAATATCAAACAAAGAACAACCGCAGAATATCATGTTCATTGTGGAGTGAAAACTAATTTCCAAATGTCTGCTTTCTTTCTCTTACTAATTTAAAATGTCAAGCCAAAGACAAATTAAAATGCCAAACAAATTAGAACTTCCTCGCTTATTTTAGCCAATTAATGTGTGTGTGCACGCGCTCGTGTGTTTGTGTTTTTTGGCCTAGCACCTCTAGTTGCTAGAGGTTTTCTTTTTATCGGCTGTCTTCCTCTATGGAAGGGGTGTTGCCTCTGGGCATGTGTTGAACTCCGTTGTATATCTTTATTTTTTGGTGATAAAACCCTCAACAAAAAAATGACAACTTCAAGCCCAACATGAAGACACCTCCATACGCATGTATTTGATTCAAGTTCTTGCTGATTTAGGTCATTACTCACACACCCCAACTGAAATTTTACCCAGTGAAAAACAATAGCACTGAAATATTTATAACTTATTATTCTTTTTTGATCGGTATAACTTATTATTCTTGATGTCATCATAAAGCGAAAAAGTTAACATAATGCGTGAATGATTTTCACACCTCACATTCTTAATTGATCAATTACCGCTTGAAATGCACATATGTAATCATGATTAAATGGTCTGAGTCAGAATATTGTCCACAACAAATATATTATATTCAGAATGCAAGAATTCATTCAAAATAAGTATCTAGTTTTATTATTTACCACACACAAAACTGTCATATATTCCAAAAATTGTGGGGTCCCAAGTTTCTTGAGGGAAGAAAAAAAAAAAAAAAAAAAAAAAAAAAAAACCCATTTACGATATTAAAAAAAAAAAATCTACAGAGACTGTGTAGATAATATACATTATTTATGTATATACAATAAGCAGAGAAATATGCAAAGCCCTAAAAAAAACCCAAGATTCCAAGTAAACACCACAAGAAATTCCATAAAGAAATACATACATTATTTTATTTGTGTGTATATATATATATATATAAGAAGAGAATAAAAATTGAAGCTTCTTGTTGATTACTATGAAATCAAACCAGGAACCGATCAGCTGGCATTGAGAAATAATTTTTAAAAAACACAAGCTGAGAAACCGAAGGAGAGAGGGAGAGAGGGAGAGAGAGAATTGATGGAATAATGGTATCGAAAGTATAAATTGATTTTGAAAAAATTAGTAGAAGAAGAGAGGAACAAATTGAGAAAAATAGATACAAAAAAACATGATTGGGAAAAGTGATCAAAACGAAGACTGAGCTCGTACCTCGACATCGGCAATGGCTTCCGCGCATAGAGAGAGAGAGAGAGGAGGGAAGGGGTTTTCTTTTCTTTCGGTATGTATGTGTTCAGGGTGTTTAGAGAGAGAGAGAGAGAGAGAGAGTGTGTGTGTGTGGGAAGGGGTTTTCTTTTCTTTCGGTATGTATGTGTTCAGGGTGTTTAGAGAGAGAGAGAGAGAGAGAGAGAGAGAGAGAGGGGGAGAAGGGGTTTTCTTTTCCTTCGGTAGCAAGTGTTCAGGGGTTTTAGAGAGAGAGAGAGAGAGAGAGAGAGAGAGAGAGAGTTATGGTTTTAAAGAGAGAGGAGGGAAAGTTGGACTGGAAAGTGGAACAGTGTGGGCAGATAGAATACAAACCGGCGTGTGGGTGTTTGGAAAGATGGTATTTTAGGTCTCCTTTGGCAATAAATTAATTTAGTAATTTTTTGATTATTTAGGCTTCGTTTGGCAAGAGGTTATTTTAGTCAATTAGTCAAAAAGTTATTAAATTAGTCAAAAAGTCAACAACTCATACTAAAAAGTCAAAGATTCTCTTTTCTCTCTACTTTTTGCACATCTTTTCGTAATTAGCCAAAAAGTCATCCCAAACATACAAGTTTTTTTCACCTACCTTTTTAGCCAAATAGCCAAAAAGTTACTAAATTAGCCTGTTCCCAAACGAGGCCTAGTTAAAATATGAATTAAAAAAAATGAGTATGTTTAAGATAATTTTTTAATTTTTTATGAAAAGATGTGTAAAAAATAGAGAAAACAGAGAATCTTTGACTTTTTTATATGAGTTGTTGGTTTTTTAACTTTTTTACTGACTTTTTGACTAAAAAAATTATTTGCCAAACAAGGTCTTAGTAGGTTGTTTTAGGATATCTTCAATGGTACCTTAAATTTTTTACTCCCTCCGTCCCAAAATATTGGTCCCTTTTGGGGAATCCAACTTTTTTTGGTAGTACACTTATTGCATTTAAAAAAAGTTGGTTTTCCAAAATTACCTTGTTATTTTAAGTCTCGTTTGGAAATAAATTAATTTAGTAATTTTTTTGATTATTTAGTTAAAATATGAATTAAAAAAATGAGTATATTTAAGATAATTTTTTAATTTTTTATAAAAAGATGTGTAAAAAATAGAAAAAAAAAAGAGAATTTTTTACTTTTTTATATGAGTTGTTGGTTTTTTAATTTTTTTAGTGACTTTTTAACTAAAAAAATTATTTGCCAAACAAGGTCTTAGTAGGTTGTTTTAGGATATCTTCAATGGTACCTTAAATTTTTTATTAAATTTGAGCGAAAATTTAAATAATTTTTTTTAATATCAAATAATTTAGAGTTTTTTTATTTCATTAAACTATCGATCGGGAGGGAGGAAAATCAAATGGATGATTGGCCAGTGTAATTTTTCACAAATTTTTATCTTGGGTGGTCATTCGGGGACATCCAAGGACATTCGGTAGTGAAAATCTAAGGGTAATAAATAGTGATTTGATGAAATGCACATTAATTCTCAGTTTGATATAAATAAATAAAAATGAAATATTGAATTTGATACATATTTGATAAAATAGTTAGAGTAGGAAAAGAAGTTATTTTTTATCAAATTTAAATTTGATGACAGTTTTAAAGTAACCATTGGAGATAATCTTATAAATGTGGGTTTAAATTCTCATTTATAGGGCGGTCTTACTATGTAACATTATTTAGGATTCGTTTGGGATGTGGGTTAACTTTTTAATTTTTTAGTTATTTTAACTTGTGACTAAAAAGTCTCGTTTGAGATAAGTGTTTTAATTTTTTTTGACTTTTGTGATGAAAAAATTGAAATGATTATGATTTGAATGTGTCGTTTTGTTTTATTTTGTCTTTTATGATGGAAAAAATGAAATGTGAGGGAAAACCCACATTTATTTTGTCTTTTGTAGTTATTTTAGTCAAAAAAATCTTATTTTAACTTATGTTAAACAAAAGCTTAAGATTATTTGAAATAATTTAAATAAGTATATTTTTTTTAACTTTATATAAAAAAATGTAAAAAAATAAAATGATACAAATAAATACACTTATTTAAATAAATATATTGTACTTATCTAGATCTCGTTTAAGAATAGATTTTTTTTATTAATTTTTTGACTTTTTAATTAAAATATGATGTAAAAAAATTAATATATTTGAGATATTTTTTGATTTTTTATAAAAAAATATATAAAAAGTAGAGAGAATTTTTTTTTTTGATTTTTTAGTATGAATTATTGATTTTTTAAATTTTTTTAATAATTTTTTGATTTTTTTATTAAAAAAATAAAAATCTTAGCATTTATTTACTTCTCCCAACTCTCAAGTCATACCCTCATAATAACACTTTAATGCATTAAGAACAAACATAAAAAAAATTCTTTAAAATCCACCACATATGAATTCCTTGAAAACTCCAAACACATATAATTATTATCCCTCATAATAACATTTTAATACATTAAGAACAAGTATAAAAAAAATTTCTTAAAAAATCCAATATATATATATATTAAAACAGATCTTTGAAAATCAAATTAAAAGTGGATTGCTTTGACATTTTACAAAAAGATTGTTTCAAAATTTAATTCAAAACTCATAATCAAACAAACTTTTTCTTTTCAAATCATGATTCAACAATTCACAAACTCAAAATACAACTTCATTCTCAAATCATGATTTTAAAACTAAATCAAATGCTACCTTTGATTTTTTTTTATAATGACTTTTTAACTACAACAGTAAGCTGCCAAAATAATGCACTACTTTGGCATGATGGGTTGGGATGGGTTGGGGCTAAAATAACCAAAAAAAGATAAAATATATTTTTTAAGAGTGGTGCTAGTAGCACCCCATAAATAATTTTAGACTCTCCATTTCTTTGGACTCCCACTTATAAATTTTGAAATTCTTAAAATTTCTTTTACCCTCCAATAATATCAAAATTATTTAGGGGAAAAAAAATTTAAGGGTTTCAAAATTTATAAGTGGAGGTCCAAAAAAATAAAGAATCCAAAATAATTCATGTGGTGCTAATGGCACCACTCTTTTTTAACTCCAGGTTAAAAATGTCACATCTAAATTATAATCATTTTATTTTTTCTCTCACAAAAATTAAAAAAGTTAAAAAGTTCATTCTAAACGAGACTTTTTAACCCCAAATTAAAATAATCAAAAAGTTAAAAAGTTAACCCACATTCCAAACGAAGTCAATGTAACTAGGCATATATAATGTTAGAAAAATGTTTGGGAGCTCTAAATTGTGAGCACTAAAGGAGCTCTAGAGAGTGGGTCCCACTGACTGATGTGATATTTTGGCCTTAAGTTTTTTTTTCCTTTTTTTTTTTTGAATTTCCACCTCATTAGTGGTCCATTAGTGCTCTCAAATTAGTGGGATGTATCATTATTGATAATGTTAAAGTGCTTCACATCAAGTGTTAAAATTTATTTGTTTTTTGGTTTTTTATAGGGTGTCTGAGTCAATTTAACGTACACCTTAACTAAAGGTCAAGTTTGACTATTCTAAATAAGTACACACTTTTTTATCTTTTTATTTTTTTTATCATATCATCTCTCTACTTTTCTGCATATCTTTTTATAAAAAAATAAAAATATACTTATTTAGATCATTCCAAACAATGCTTAATTCACACTGGCGATGGGAGTTTGTTGCTAACCATGAGATGTTACAGCTGTTGAGACACGAATTAGAGAGCAAACTCAGTTGAACCTCAAAACCTTATTCATCAGTGGGCAAGTCGCTGGGCCACAAACTCGTGTTTATCATGTTGCTAAAACTCACCGTGCACGTCTTGTATCTTAATTGATATGTTTGTTAACGTTCTTAATTTATGATTAAAATATATTTTTTCTCCTCATTATCTTTTTATTTTGTTTAAATTATTTGTCTCATATACAATAAACAAAAAAATGTTATACACTCTTAAAAACTATGCAAAATTATAACGTTCCGTTTGTTTGGAGAGTTAGAGGGGGATTGAAATTGGTAGTGAGGTGAGACCCACTAACATTGTGTTTGTTTTAAGAGATGGGGAGGGGATTGATAGTGAGCTCCGAATTCAGATGGTTCTTCAAGACTTGGTGTTAGAAAAATGGTTCTTCAAGACTAGAAATTTTTTATTTTTATTTATTTTTATTTTATTTTTTACATATTGGACATTTTTTTTAACATTAATTTTTAATTTTTTGTATTTTTTGTTAAGTAAAAAGTATTTTTTTATTTTTTTTATTTTTTTCTGGAAAATTTTTATTTATTTTTTATTTTTTAAATTTTTTTTACATATTGGGCATTTTTTTTAAAACATTAATGTTTAATGTTTTTGTATTTTTTATTTGTTTTATTGTTTCATATTTATTTTATATAAAAATAATTTAACAATCTCACACTAACAACTATCATCAAAACAATCACAATTTTACTTAATCCCCTCACTATGAATTCCCTCCATTCTACCTTTGAAAATAAACGGAACCTAACAGTCTCAATAAACAAAAAAAATAAAAATAAAAAAAGTATTTTAGATATTTTTATGTTCAATTATATTGAATTTAATAATAAAAAATACTGTTTTTTTGGTCAATGTTATTTAACAAAAATAGGCAAATAATAGGTAAGATTTAAATTTTAAAAAAATTAAAAGCTAAGATTTATTTTATTATAATAGTCAAATTTTTTTTAAAAAAAATTATAATTTTCACTAAAAATTTTAATCTCAACCAACAAATATCTAGAACAAAAACAAAATAATTTATTTTGCAATTCTACACCGTCATGCTAAAATCTCACACAATCTAATCTGGCAAAGACGATCAATAGACTACTCGAGGAGATTGAAGGGGAACTTACTAATAAGTCCTATATATAAAGTTCAAGGCTCATCTAATCCTCAAACAAAACACTTGCACAAATTAGTCATACACATTTTTAATTGTTACCAAAAAATTCTTTTTTTTTTTTTTTGAAATTTACAAACACTATTATATCTTACTACCGTCGAATTTCCGTCAAACGGTCACCGGAGACTCGTCGGAATGTTCAATATCACCGGAAAGTCACTAGAGTATTGCCGGAAAGTCGCGGGAGTGTTAAGAACGTTAATGGAAGTCGCTGGAATGTTCAAAACGTTCACTGGACGTTAAGAACATCACTGGAGACTCACCATAGTGTCTAGAATATTGTCGAAAAAAAAAAGAATAAATGAAAAAATTAGAGCAAAAAAAAAACATAGCAAAATGTGTTAAATATTGATAAACTAAAAGAAAAAAAAAATGAAACGACAAAAAACAGCAACAATGGGAAAAAGATATGGTTTTTTTCAATTTTTGTAAGGTTTAAGCAAATAATCTCCAATATTGATCAAACTGAAAAAGCAGTTTTGAAACTGTAAAATGTTACAGTTTCAAAGCAAAAATCTATTAAGCATTTATCTTTATTAATCAAACTGGAAAACATGTTATGAAACTGTAAAATTTTATAGTTCTAAAGAATGTTATGAAACTGTAAAATTTTACAATTTTATACGATGATTCACTCCAACACCAAAAAAATTTAAAATTGTAAAATTTTACAGTTTTAAACCATGATTCATTCCAGCACAAAAAAAATTTGAAACTGCAAAATTTTACAGTTTTAAACCATGATTCACCGCCTGTAACTAAAACTCGAAAATTACTTATTCAGAACTTGAAAATTTTCTCCATTAGAACAGAAAAAGAGAAGTGTATAACAGAGAAAAATGTAGAAAAAAATAAGAGATCGAAGGCGAGAGGTGGATATAGAGAGAAGATTATACTCCGACAACTATTTTTTGTTTAGATCTAGCCAGATCTGATGTAGATCTACATCAGATCTAAGTATATCTACTCATCTTCTTTGTCGGAAATATATCTTCTTTGCCGTCGGTGAGGGTGAAGTCACGAGTTGATTTCGATGGTTGGTGGTTACCGGTGAACCCCGATCAATGGAGAAATACGTGATCACCGGTCGTCGTCCATGACAAAGAAGATGAGAGAAAAATGCAGAAAAAGAGAGAGAGGAAAACGTAAAGAGTGAGGCAAAAAACAGAGAGAGAGAGAAAAGTAAGACTTTTAGATCTACTCAAAAAGTTATAAAATTAAATAATATTCACATATTTCAAATAGGACCTGTAGATAATTTTCCTGAGAGTGAACCGTATAAATCCACACAACTTTCTGAGCATATTTTTTTTGGGCCAAGTGGGGGTACATAGCCCATAAATCCAGTACATACACTTTATCCTCTCCATATATTTTCAATTTTATCAAGAATCTTCAAAGGTACAAATCTGATACACAAACGTATAGAATGGGTCTTATTTTTAATTTTATTTTTAGGGTTAATTACAAAAAAAAAATAAAAAATAGGATTTCTTGTCTTTTTCATTTTAAATCTCAAGTTTTCAATTTTGATAAATTAAATCTCATCTTCCTACTTGTATTTTAATTTGCCTTCTCCGTCCATCTCCGTCATGTTAAACTAACGGAAATTTGAACAAAATTTCATATTCAAACTCACATGTTCAAACACGTATATCTCTCTCGTCGTGATTCCGTTTCGCCTCATTTTTACGTCATTGGATTCACCTCATAGTTTAGTTTTCATTCTAATCCTCATACGTCTTGTTTTACCTCTTTTTGTGTGCCATCAGAGTTTCGAAAGTCAACTAAAAATAATTTTTTTCTCTCTTTGGACAAAATTTTCAAATTTAAACTCACATGTTCAAGAACTTGTATCTCCCTCGTTGTAACTTCGTTTTGCCTCATTTCCGCATCGTTAGATTCTCCTCATGGCCTAGCTTTCATTCCACCTCTCATACGCCTTATTTCACCTCTTCTTGCGTGCCATCAGAGTTCCAAAAGTTTGTCAAAAATAAGATTTTTCTCTTCTTTTCTTTTCTTTTTTCTTTTTTCTTTCTTCCTCTATCTTATATCTCCATGCTTCTTTCTTCCTACTTCATTTCCACAATTATTCTCTCTTTTCCTCTTTCTTCATGGCCCTTCCATCAAGCTCATGGTGGCCACCAAACCTCCGACGATGGTGGTGTCGTCAAGTATGGAGGTATATAACTTACAAGAAGAGGAAGAAACGTAAGAGTGGGGGAAGGGCCATGAAAGAAGAGGAAAAGAGAGAATAATTATAGAAAGGAAGGAAAAATGAGGAAGCATGGAAATAAAAGATAAAGAGAAAAAAAAAAAAGAAAAATCTTACTTTCTGCTAACTTCCGTAACTTCGACGGCACGCAAAAGAGGTAGAACAAAGCATATTAGGGATATAATAAAAATTAGGCCGTGAGATGAATCTAACAACATGAAAATGAGGCGAAACGGAATTACGACAAGAGAGATCTAAGTTCTTGAACATGTGAGTTCGAATCTAAAATTTTTGCTCAAAGAGAGAAAAATCTTATTTTTAGCTAACTTTCGAAGCTCCGACGGCACGTAAAAAGAGATAGAACAAGACATATGAAGGGTGAAATGAAAACTAAACCGTGAGGTAAATCCGACAATGCAAAAATGAGACGAAACGAAGTAACGATGTGGGAGATACAAACTCTTGAACATGTGAAATTAAATTTGAAATTCTGTCCAAATTTCCATTAATTTAATATAACGGAGATGAACGAAGGGGCCAAATTAAAACATGAGCGGAAGGATAGACTTTAATTTGGCGAAATTGAAAACCTAAGGTTTAAAATGAAAAAAGGGTCCAAACCCTAGAAATTTTTTTTGTGTGTAATAAATCCTTATTTTTATTAGGAATCTTCAAAGGGACAAATTTGATACACAAACTTATATGATTGGTCTATTTTTATTTATATTTATTATTATTATTATTATTATTAAGAATCTTTAAAAAGACAAATTTGATACACAAGCTTATATGATGGGTCTATTTTTATTTTAAAGATTTGATATTTTTAATTTATAAGTCTCGTGTGCACATTTAATTTCGGAACGCTGTGAATGTCATATCATACCAAAAACATTTAAACTATAAACCTACGAAACAGTACAAAAAAAGGTAAATTTAATTTCGGAATGCTGTGAATACCATATCATACCAAATTGTTCCTAACATGTTCCATTAATAAAATAGTGTCCAGAAAAACAAAAATGGTTAAATTTAGCAAAAAACGTGCCCCAGAAAACAAAAAATGAGTGTTGTGAATATCGTACCATACCTACAGGATGAGTTTCACACAAAAATGGCTAAATTTAACAAAAAAAAGTGCCCCAAAAAACAAAAAAGAGTGTTTTGAATATTGTACCATACCTACAGGACGAGTTTCACTCAGCCTATCTTTTAAGCCGAATCGAACTCAATATCTTTCATAAGTTAAATTTGTCATACACCATTAGCAAAATAGGTCACTCATTGAGCTTAAACAACACTAGTCCCTATCTGGTACGATTTATAGGAATTGCTTATAACTACTTGTTTTCTTTTTTGTAAATTTTAAGAGTTCGTGTCGAAGTCAACAAGTGTGTCGTGCAACACTATACAACTTACGAGATTAAATAGCTAAAACAAAATTTAATTATTGAAATGTAAAAAGAGGTGATTTTGATTATCGACTTTCAATTTGTTAGAAGTTACACCAAATAAGCCTACTACCGGAAGTGGATGGCTCCCGTATACCACCTGAAAAAGCTTGATCACAAATAGGTCACCCATTGATGACAACATTTGCTTTCAAACCAAACAAATTTTAGTCAAAGTCATTGCAAATTAGTGATTATATAGCTCACCATGGAAGGGAAGATCTGTGTGTACACACAGTAATGAAGCCCACCAAACTTTACAACAATTGTTAACAAAATTAGCTTTAACACACTATTTGCCTAACTGAAAATGACTCAAAAAAAGGGGAGGCCAATGAGCTATTTGATTCCCACATAAAATCTAAAAAAAGGCACACAAAATCAAGCTAAGAAAATCAAATCATATAGATGAAAGATCTTCATATATAGTCTTGATACCTGGCCTCTCCGAAACCGATCTTATGCATCGTAAAGCGATTCCGAGGACCTCTTTCATTCCCTTATCCGCAGCCGGATTCCCCATCTCCGGCAACAACACCGCATCGAAACATTCTGACCCGCGACCTTCAGTTACCTTCAACCGCACCCAATCTGACAAATCAACGCCTCCATCTTCACCAGAAACCACGTCGCCGGCACATTTTCCGGTTAAGAGCTCCAACAAAATGACTCCAAAGGCATACACGTCTGACTTGAAGGAGGGAAGTGGCTTCTTGGAAGAAGCTAGTTCTGGTGCACGATAGCCCAACACCCCGGCATCGAGGATTTGCTCAATGGTGCCGGCTTGGGTCATGAGGCGGTGAAGGCAGTAATCAGCGACACGAGCATTGAGGTCGGGCCCATCTAAGAGTATGTTGGTTGCTTTGATGTTTCCGTGTGGAACAGCACGGTCAAAATGGAGATAGTTCAGGCCACGTGCAACGTCAACAGCTATTTTGAGCCTTTGCGCCCAGGATAGCGGTGGACCCTTTCTTCCTGGTCGATCTGAAATTTAGGGTTCATTAGATGCAAATAGAAAATACTCCAACATGAAACGAAACTATAGAGAGGAAAAATGGAAAGCTCTGTTATACAAACAATAGAATGGACTAATTGTACAAAAGCTTAAAAAAGGCATCGAACACAACGACAATAACAGTAAGATTGTGTTGTCCGCCATGCATTTTGTAAAGAAAAACAAACAAAACAAAAAACACTCCTCCAAGATAAAATGAAACCCTAGTGGAAATTTTTGAAGTCAGCTTGTGCAAATGATACATCTTTCAAGTGCAACACAAGATTTGAGGCTTCATTTGATAAGACTTTCTAACTATGATTTGAGAATATGAATTGTATTTTGAGTTTGTATGTTTTGAAATTATGATTTGAGTGCAGAAAATTTGTTTGGTTATGATTTTTAAATAGAGTGTTGAATTGAGTTTTGAATTGAGTGTGGAATTGAGTTTTAAAAATTTGATTTGACATGTAAAGTAAGAAAATTTGTTTGGTTATGAATTTTGAAAAGAATTTTCAAAACTTTATTCAAATTATTATAGCTCAGAACAAAACACACTATTTTCACACTAGCGAAAATTCTGATAAACACTCATAACCAAACTCTTTTTAAAATTCAATTAAAAAAATTTATTATTAACAGAAAATAACATTAATCAATTTTTTAATTGAAAGTACTACAAAGGAAATAATTTTTTTTCAAAATAAATATTCAAAAAATTTAAATCATAAATATTTAAATAATCTAAAAAATTTAATAAATAAAAAATTAAAATAAATATTCAAAAATTTTAATTGTAAAAATTTAAATAATTTAAATATTCAAAAAAAATTTTAATGTAAAATTTAAATAATTAAAATTTTAAAATTTAAATTTTAAAAACAACTCTACACGCAAATCGTAACCAAACACATAAAACAAAAACTCAATTTAGAAATTACTTTTAAAACTCATAACCAAACACATAACTTGAATTCCATACTACTTTCACAACTCTACACTCAAATCGTAACCAAATACATAACAAAAAAATTAAAATATTTAAAAATACTTTTATAAAATAGAGTTTAAATTTTATTTTATAAAATATATTTAAAATTAAAAAAAATTAAAAATTGTAATATTTAAAAATTAAAATATTTAAAAATATTCAAAAAATTAAAAAATTAAAAAATTAAAAAAATCGTAACATATTTAAATATTTAAAATCTTAACAAAATTAAAATATTTTTAAAATATTAAAATATTTTAAAAATTAAAATATTAATTAAAATTAAGTTTTGAATTGAGTTTTGAATTATGTATTTGGTTATGAGTTTTAAAAAGTAATGATTATGTTTTGAATTGAGTTTTGAGAAATAGGTGTAAAATTATGATTTGAAAACTCAAAACAAATACCACACTCAAATTAATAGGTGAAACTATAATTTGAGAGGCTTACCAAACGAAACCTTAATATCTCATTTATACCATAGTTGTCAGAATTTTCCATGTGTGGGCCAATATGTCAAGTGATTTTGTTTTATGGAAAAAACCGAATTGCTTGTTACTTGGTACTACAAGACATGCTGGTGATCCCATTCGACAGCTAGTGATCAGTTTCTCTTGGGATTAAGCCGCATCTTAGCTATGCTGATAAAAAGAAAAAACAAAGGGCACATCTTAGCTACATCATAGCCACAGTGTAGGATAAGAATGAGGAATAGTGATAAGACCTATCTGTTAGAGTCCATGATGGGACAGATTCTTAAGGAACAATGGTTATTTCAGGCGGCTAAGTCCCTGCTCTCACACAACAAGCTTTCAAACCCATGAAAGAGAGCCTCTGGCTGTGGCAGATCATCAATTCAAAGGAAAGATAACACCATGACATCACGACTAAAGGTGAAGATCTCATTGTTTTTAGAAGACCCAAATCAATCAAAAGCTTCGGTTTCATGCTTCAAACTCATGCCAAAGCTGTTCAAAGTTTTCTAAGAGTCATGGACTCGTGGAAACAATAGTTAGTGTTCATATAAATTCAACTAATTGAAGTCTGTCCTCAAGCAGGGGGAAATGGAAAATTAGATCCCATTGGGCAAAAACAATGAAGCTAGAACAGTGCAAGCGATAAACCAAAAACAATAATCTAGAATTCAACATTTTAACCAATGTAACAATGGCTACTTCATACATCTTGCAATAGTTCAGATGGAGAATTCAAAATACAACTTGTGCAATCACGTCCAACAATTAGGGTTAGAATAACGACAGAACAATCAGTATATTAGCTAGTCAAACATATCACCCTAATGGTGTAGTAAAATTTTGTTCCGTCAAAAATAAGGCCTAAGAGTTTATCTAAACTATAAGTGAGGCTTTGTCTATCAAATAGGAAGTCCTGAGTTTTTAAGATGACATGTAGATTGATTAACATGCTTTTTATCTTCAGTATTTACTGCTGACAATGAGTTCATTCCCCAGAGACAGTTCTTTAAGAATTTCATTGTTATCACATTTTTAAAACGAGCAGGCTGAAACAAAACTTTGCCTCATGATCACCCCATTTCTCTCTTTATTGCTTTCATATCTTGCAAGCATTTTCATACAGATATACAAATGTCAAAGTAGAAATAAAAGCAAATTCCCATTGGTCAACACCTTTTGAGTTAGTACTATGAGCAAAAGTAATGCATTGAAAGAAGAAAAGGAAAGAAAATACCATAGAGAAAGCTCGCAAGACTTCCGGGTGAGATATAATCCGACAGAATGAGCTTCTCATGCTGTGTGGGTCCCCAATAGTAGCCTCTCAAACCCACCACATTCGGATGCCTGATATTTGCAAATTTTTTAGCTTCCTTTGCAAAATCCTTTCTCTGCTTCGCAACCCCTTCTCTTAACCACTTTACAGTCAAAAACATCCCATTATCAAGTGTTGCCCTGTAAGAAGTCCCATGGCTGCTCCTCCCAAGTACTTCAGCCGGGGCCCTCGATAATTCCTCGGGCGATAAAGTAATTGTATCGTCAAGAAAATGTAGCTCACCGGCCAATCTATCAGGAGACCTAACATCGAGCCTCGCCAAACTTTCATCAGGATATGACTCCCCAGACTCAGGTGACCAAGAGAAATGGCTGTTCTTCGATGGAGAGAAGCCAGTTATTTTCTCATCTGCACTAATTATCTCCGACGAGGATCCTTTCCGTGAAGTCATAAGATCCTTAGCCGAAACAACTAAACCAGCACTGTCCCTTCCGCTAACGCCCGAAGGATTTGATGAGGTCCGCCTGCTGATGTCTTTGCTCGTAACACGTTGTGGAAGAGGTCGCTTTGATATGCGGGTGTAATGTATAAAGATAGCAAGCAGAATCAAAATAACCACAGCAACCACACATACAACAATCACTACCACTTTGACTATATTTTTGATAGGTTTCCTGTTGGGATTTCCAGAGGGAACTTGGCCCGATCCGGGAGGAGGGTTTGGATATTGCAATCTGGAATTTCCAGGGAAGAAAGACGATAATGGAAATTTTCTCAGATTTTCCGGGACAACCCCAGTTAGATCGTTGTATGATGCATTGAAGCTTTCAAGACTGTTTGACAAGTTACTTGGCAACACGCCCGTGAAATGATTCTGGGAGATATCTAATGAACTTAGCAAAGTCAAGTTAGCCATGGAAGTTGGTAGAGAACCAGACAAATTGTTCTTTGCAAGACTGAGCACTTTAAGTCCAGTTAAAGACCCAAATCCATCAGGAAAATAGCCAGTAAGCTGGTTATGAGAAAGATCAAGAACTTCAAGGTTGGTCCCAAATGGGGAAGGAGAGAACTCGATACTTCCAGAAAGAAAATTGTTTTCAAGATGAAGTTCTTGCAAAGTCGTTGATGTTAGCAAGGCAGTTAGGAAAGGTCCATCTAACTGGTTGAAACTAACATCAAGGACTGTAAGTTTAGGAAACTGAGTAACGACTTTTGGCAGTGAACTACTAAGAAAATTGTGAGAGAGGTTGAGGTAATTTAAACGCAGAAATTGAGAAGTCAGCTCAGGGATTGACCCTGTCAAATTGTTCTGGCTAAGATCGAGGATTTCAACGTTTGCCCATTTTACCAACCGGGATAAATTTCCTCCAAATTGGTTCCTTGACAGATCAAGTACTGCACAGCTTCCAGTTAGCAATGGAAGATCACCAGAAAGCCCGTTTGAGGAGAGATTAAGTATGTTCAAAGTTGTTGATGTAATCATACTTATTGGCCCTGAAAGAAGAACGAAAAGGTGAGAACTGTCAAACAACCAATGCAGAACAAATATTATGGATGTAGCACAAGACAGTATTACCCCAGGTTAAAAAATAATTCAGTCATGACGCAAAACACAACAATGTTCACCTTCAAATAAGATCATTAATTTCTGTCTTAGGCCATCTCCAGCCCTCACTCAAAATTTTACTCAAATTTGAGTAATAGCTTTATTTGATATGAACCACTCCAATGGACAAACTCGGATTTAAAGACAAATTTGAATAAAAGCTTCATTAATGAAAGTGGTAAATTTGAAAATCTTGAAAATTTTGAGTAGCATTTGAATCTCCCTTGATTTGGATAAAAAATAAGTAAAACTCAATTTTGTATAAGTTTGGGTCGAAGGGTGTTTTGAGCATTTTTTACCCAAATTTAAATTTGATATAGGTGACAGTCAAGAATTGAAGATGCCCTTAGTCCATCACAAGCCTTTACTCAAATTGAAGACTTATTTGATAATAAGCACTTTAACGAACAAACTCATATTTAAACATATATTTGAGTAAAAGCATCACGGATGTCAGAGTAATAACTCATTTTGATACGAGTTTGAGTAAACTGGAGAGGATTTTGCGGAGTTTTTCACTCATATAAATTTGATATGGTAAAGGGTAAGGACTGGAGAGGGCCATAGGTATATGTTGAACAATAAATAACTACAAGATAAAATAAAATAATATAAATTCTAATTCTGCATATCAAAGAAAATTCGTAGTAGAAGTACCTGAGAGGTTGTTGCCACTCAGATCCAATTCAGTTAGAACCAAGGAATCTCCTTTCAGAAGTCCATTAGGAACAAAACCAGAAAATCTGTTGTTGCTAAGCTTGAGAACCTGAAGGTCATAAACAAAATTAAATCCTGGTAACTCCCCAGACAGTTGATTGTAGCTCAAATCCAACACTTTCAAGTTCCCAAATATTTGTGCCTCGTTCCCATTTACTAGAGACCCTGTAAGCTGATTGTGGCTAAGATTTAAATACTGAATAGTATCCGCTACACCAGGTATAAAATTCTGCTTTGATGAAGTTGAAGTCACTAGGTTATTCCCACTAAAATCAACATGAACCGCCATAGTTAGAAGCAAGAATTGCCCATCTAGGTTACCTTCAAGCATATTTCCATGCAAATCAAGAACCTCAAGATTAGGCATTAGCTCAAACCCTTTTGGGATATTCTTTGTGAACCCATTAAGAGATAGATTGAGAGATACCAAACCGTTCAATTTTCTTAATGAAGATGGTAGTGAACCGGAAAATGAGTTGCAACTCAAGTCTAAGGACTCGATTGAGGTAATCCCTGAAATTGAATCCGGAATAGAGCCGGAGAAGTTGTTACCGGCCAATGAGAGGTTCTTTAAGCTCCCTAACTTACCAATCTCCAATGGTAAAGATGAGAAGAATAGATTGTTTGACAAATCCAGATACTCAAGGGTTTGGAAGTCACCTATATTGCTTGGCATTTTGCCTGTTATCGAGTTGTTTGGCATCGAAAGCTTCACGAGCATCGTGAGGTTTGAAAATACACTCAAATCTGCATCAGCAGATAAACCCAGGCCATCAAGGACAACTCCAGCAACGTTGCCGCCATTGCAGACAATCCCATTCCAAGAGGAAGGGCAGCCATTGAAGTCAATGGACTCATCATTCCAAGAATTAAGCACATAACCTGTTGGGTCATGCTTGATTCCCTTCTTGAATTCAAGCAGTGCCAAAATGTCCTGAGAAGGAAGCTGCCCCATGGCACAGACAAAAAGTAATGATACCATCAAAACCCTAAAGAGCTTCATTTCAACCCCAAAAGATGATTTCAACTTTCACCCAAGTAAGATATAAGTCCAGTATGAAAAACCAAAATGATCTCTCAAGCCTTCAAATCAAGAAATTCAAAGAAAACCCAAGTGGTTTACAGACCATTCAACAGCCTAATGCACAACCCAACAACATTTTCTTCAACAAATGAAAACCCTAATAGAGTTCATACTCAACCACAGAACTCACAGAGTTCATCTACCAGTACTAAACGGTAGAGAAGTGAAAACCCTAACAGAACACAAAATGAGAAACAGTTCTTCAACAAGGAATGCTTTCCAGATACACAAACTGAGTCCAAGCAATAAATGAGTGAAAACAAACTAAACAAACAGAGTCACCTTCAGAGATCAGACCTTGAATGGTTGAGCATTTTCTCACCAAGCCCCTTCTATATGAACAATGTGGCTCAGTGAAAACAGTCCCCTCCAAAGATTCAAGCTCTGCAGCAAACAAAGACTCACTCTTGCAACAGATTTCAAACTTTGAACAATCTGAAACTTTAAGATCTGGGTAGAGGTGGAAAAGGCCTTTTGTGCAGTACAGTGTATGGCAGAGCTCAGACCACTCTGGCACACAAACAAACCCACTAAGAATGAAGCAAATGGGTCATCAAATCTTAGCTGCAATGCAATAAATACAATGGACCCAGAAAGGTTTTGGCCTTTGTTAAGCCAAACAAACACATCTTTAGCTTCCAGAGACCCAAAAACCTCTGCACACTTGCACAGTATTAAACCCTAAAATCTTTCTTTAAGAAAGCAAAGAGCACTTAAATATTAAACTATTCTTAACAACCTTTTCGTTTATTTTTTGCTTTCAAAAAGGACATTTGGGAAACCAAAAACCCTAACTCGTTGCGTGTTTGTTTGGATGGAAGCACCTTAGAAAAACTAATCTTTGTTTTCGTCAGTCTTTTGATGGGATTTTGCTTGTTTTTTAATTATTTGTCTCTGCAAAGAAGAGAGAGAAAAAGCGGGAAATAGTGTGTGATTTTTGTCTGTATTTGGCAGTAAATTAGAGCTTTTACCCGCCAAAAAAAATGAAAAAATAAAAAATAAAAAGAAAGAAAGAAAGAAGAGAGAGAGAGTAGAGAGAATCTAACAGTGGACGTGAAAGAATTTATTAAATCTGGTTTAAGGTTTTTTAAGGTCCTTTTTGGGGGGATGTGATCCTATTACGCTTGTGAAGGAGAAGTTGTTGGTTGGTCTGGAATATCGCAGGTGGTGTTTAATATTGCATTTCGTTGGGATATTTAGAAAAAAATAAAAAATAAAAAATAAAAAAATTATGTAAAATATAAATAAAATATATTTATATATTTTTTTAATTTTACATATTTTTTTTCTTTTTTTTTTTAAAATTTCTTTATAAATCTCCTAACCAAACACAATGAAGTTAACTATTTATATATGAACAATTAAAAAAAAATTTAAATCAAAAAATATTACGAGTCAAATGATTTTTAAAATAAAAAGGTAATTATGTATATATGAATAACAAATAAATATAGATGAAAAAATATACAAAAATAAAAATATAACTATTTAATGAAAATTCAAATGAAAGATAACAAAATATTTAAATAAAAAAAAGAATAAGATTGGGATATAAATATCCCAAAAAGATGATAATTTTTTTAACGATCTATATTTATCTTTTGTTAGTTTGTTATAGAATTTCTATATATTTCAACTTAATCTTTTTAAAGTTTATCTTTAAGTGGAACTTAATATTTTATCTTTTAAAATTATCAATTACTTATCCATACAAATTTTAAACATGATAGAATTCCATATATATCTTTTGTTTAAACATAATATTTTTAATATAAAAACAAGTTTCTGCAAAAGAAACCATGAACAGAAAATTAGGGGGAAAACAATCAACATTAATCCATTTTTGATCTCTTTTTGGTGTCTAAAAATCTTAAATATTTGCTTTACATTTGAAATGTGTACTTGCATGAGTTTTTGTATTTGTAAGAAAGTGAGTTCATATAAATGAACATTATTATTATTATTTTTATTTTTTTTGTTACAATCTGTATTTTTCCTTATTTCTTTCTTTTTGTTAATAATTTGTCATTTAATTGAGATTTTATTTATTTTTTATATTTATAAAAGCACTGCTATTATCAATTTGTAACTCTCTCACTTATTGATTATTTGTGTTTATTTATTTATTTATTTTTGGGTGTAGATGTTAGATTGAAAATGAAAAATCAAAATTTATTAGATATGGGTTATACTTTAAATGTATTCATCAGTTGATTTTTTATTGTTGATCATCCTATTGAAATAATTCATGATTAAATTTATTTTTATTAACTCATTTCCTTGGAGAACTAAACCACAAATTTCTTCTTTGTTTAAATTATTTATTTATTTATTTAGAGCAAATGGAAGATATCTCATATTTAAAATGTTAATTTTTTTTTGAATAATTTAAATATTTATATTCTTTATGTTTGTCAATTCAAGTATAATGTATTTTCAAACATCACTACTACAAAAACAGATAAAGGTCACACTTTTTTGTGTGATATATGTTATTTAATCACACCTTTTAAGTTTTATTAAAGTGTGATATTTGGGAGTGTGATTAAAAGGGGTCATTTGTAATCACACCTTTTAAGTGTGATTCAGAGTTTAAGCAAATGGAAGATATCTCATATTTAAAATGTTAATTTTTTTTTGAATAATTTAAATATTTATATTCTTTATGTTTGTCAATTCAAGTATAATGTATTTTCAAACATCACTACTACAAAAACAGATAAAGATCACACTTTTTTGTGTGATATATGTTATTTAATCACAACTTTTAAGTTTTATTAAAGTGTGATCTTTGAGAGTGTGATTAAAAGGGGTCATTTGTAATCACACCTTTTAAGTGTGATTAATAACATTTAGATTATACCTTTTAAGTGTAATTTAAATATTAAGATCACACTTTTTAAGTGTGATTAATAGTATTTAGATCACACCTTTTAAGTGTGATTAAAAATATTTAGATCACACCTTTTAAGTGTGATTAATGACATTTAGATGTGAAAAAAAAAATATTACACTCACTAGCTTCTCATTTGCTCTTGTGAAGATTCAAACCATCAACCCCCTCACACCATAAACCTTATACAACACACTATTTCCCACTTCTATAACACCATATGATTATATATGCAACATATATTATTTACATAGTATATAGACCCGTATTAATATAAAAAAATATATATAAAGATAATTATTTTTTATTGAACATAATTTATGTAAAAATAAATTATTTATTAGAAAAAAAAGAGACAACTTTTGGCGACTAAAATTATGTTTAGTCGCCAATTCTATACTTTTGGCTACTAATTATTTTTTTGTCGTTAAAAAATTTAATTCTCAGGCTAAAATTACTACTTTTGGAGACTAAACTTCTTTTTAGTTGTCAAAAAGCCTCACTTTTGGCTACTAAACATCTTTTTAGTCTCCCAATGCCTCAGTTTTGGCTACTAAATTTTTTTTAGTCGCCAAAAAATCTCACTTTTGGCTACTAAAATTTTTTTAGTTCGGTACTTTTGGTGACCGAACATCTTTTTAGTCACCCAATGCCTCACTTTTGGCTACTAAATTTTTTTTAGTCACCAAAAAATCTCACTTTTGGCTACTAAAATTTTTTTAGTCGGTAAAAGCTTCACTTTTGGTGACCAAACATCTTTTTAGTCACCCAATACCTCACTTTTGGCTATTAATTTTTTTTAGTCGCCAAAAAGCCTTACTTTTGGCTACTAAAATTTTTTTAGTCGGTAAAAGCCATATATAGGCAACCAAATAGATTTTTAGTCGCCAAAACCTATACTTTTAGCTACTAAATTTTTTTAGTCACAAAAAATCTTTACTTTTGACTACTAATTTTTTTAGTTGCCAAAATCTGTACTTTTAGCAACCAAATGTGCTTTTTTAGTCGCCAAAAATGTTTTTTCTTATAGTGGAGTGTGATTAAATATATATATATATATATATATATATATATAATTACACTTATTTAAAAAGTGTGATTAAAAAGTAGTAATGTATATATAATCACACTTTAATTAGAAGGTGTGATTAAAAAATATACAAATAATCACACTTTAATTAGAATGTGTGATTAAAAAATATATATCTAATCCTACTTATTTAAAAAGTGTGATTAAAAAGTAGTAGTGTATTTATAATCACACTTTAATTAGAATGTGTGATTAATATATATATATATATAATCACACTTAATTGAAATATCAATAAAAGTGATATTTTTTTTGTCAAAGTGTGATCTTTAACTATTTTTGTAGTAGTGCATTTTTATTTTTATTTTTTTTATAATCATTCCAAACCTATTTGTGTTTAATGAATCAATATAACGAAAAAACAAATAGCATGTAAAAAAGTTTAACCACCCACTAACTAAATATAACGGGAATTAAAATTAATTTTATTTTAATTTATTATATTATATGAGATGATTACTGTAATATCTACTATTGATTAAGCAAAATTAGTGTTACTTTTATTTAATATATTATCATTTTGATTAATTATAACATGTCTTTGTTACTCTACTTTTGGTTTTCTGAAGTAATTCTTAGATAAATTAGCTATATATATGTGATGATTTACTAATGTATGATACTTTTTTAAAATTTTCAATAATGTGAAATATTAAATATTTTTAATGATGTGAAGTAAGATTTATATACACAAACCAAATAAAAATATTAAGAAATATAAACAAATAGCATATTTTTTTTATAGTAATTATTGACTTTCTAAAATCCTCTGCATCGCACGGGTGACCACTAATCTATACTATATATATAATAGAATGTAGTGGTGTTTCCAAAAGCCTTCAAAATGTTATTCTAAAATTCTCATAATTTTAAAAAATACGTGGCAGCTTTCTTTTTAGTTTATAGTTCATTTCCTCCCCTCTCAAAGACTTTCGAAACAATAAAAACTCCTAACAAACCCATCCATAAAAGCTAAAAAAAAAAAAAAAAAAAAAAACCAAACAAAACATATCCATAAAAAGCTATAAAAAAAAAAAAATCAAGACTTTCACTCTCCCACAACTCCTACAATAGATACATATCCCTCTCCCCCGTTACTCTCCCACCTCAAACAAATTTAAAAACAACAAACACTCATCTATCCATATCCTTATAACAGATAGATATAAAGACTTTCACTCTCCCACAACTCCTATAATAGATACATATCCAAGATATATATATCCCTCTCCCATGTTACTCTCCCACGTCAAACAAATCTAAAATATACTTCATTAACTTCCTTCTTCAGCAGTGAACATCAGCAGTCCCCGAATTCAGCAGTCTGCCTCTCGATCGAATGCATGTCTCGGTTCTTCTTTTTCTTTTTCTTTTGCTTTACTAATTTAATTTTTGTTCCAACCATTTGTGATTTTGTATTTTGACTATAAATATTGCACCATTTGCGATTTTGTATTTTCATTATAAAGATTGCAGAAAAAGCAAATGTAATTTACCCATAACTTTACGTGCAGACATAGGCAGATTAGTCTAACAAATCCAGCTGCACTTACGGTTCAAAAATTACAAGCTTAGAATAACATGCCATGCCATAGAAACGTGAATTGGAAAATTAGTGATAAACTGCATTACAAAATTTTCTACCATCACCTACTGTTTGTTCCACCAATTTTGGTGCTGTGGGCTAAATACATACCAGGCCTTTTGCATACAGTCGCTGTTCTCAGACTAAACCCATTTTCTCTCACTTGATGAAACCCACTTTTACCACCCCGTCTCTTGATCAAATTCATTTCTCGATTTTTTTTTTCTTTTGCTTTAATAATTTATCTTCTGTTCCAAGCATTTGTGATTTTGTAGTGTGCATGTCTCTGTTTTTCTTTTTATTTTGCTCT